TTTTTATGTTAAATTCCGTAATGAAATTTGTTCTCCTACTTACGATATTGTCGTATCATTAAAGTGTAGAGAAAAGATAAAGTGAAATTATTTAAGCCAAAAGATAAATCCTTTTGTTCGATTTGTATTAAAAGTACCCGCAAGTATTTTCATTATTTCTTGACATACCTAAATATGTTAACAAATGTCGAAAGAAATGTAGGAGGCTTTCTAGAAGAGTTATAGTTTGCATTCAATGGAAACTTAACTTGTTCAAGTTTTGTTGTAATTTGATAGTTCCCGCGAAACATGATTTATCATTTGCTATATTTTGAAGTTCAAAACTTTTAAGGGATATACCAAAATAAAGGATTAACTTTAACATGCTATGAATTAAAAATAATAAGTGACATTTTTGTGTTCTAATGTGTTGATCAGTGTTGCAGTTTGCTCCGAATATTGTGTCGTTGACAAGATTGGGGTTTGATTTCGAGGGATTCGTAGAGGTCTCTACAACAATGATCAATGAGGAAGACGTTGTGATGGCTAATCGAACATGGTCAGGAACGGCCGAGCGCTAGTAAAATTGAGCCTACACCGCTACAGTCGGTAACTTATCGGCTGATCTTACGGCAAGGCAATTCAAGCGGCCGCCGAACAAATGGTGCTTTGGCGCTGTAAATGGACGTCTGAGGCTTGGACGCCTTTCTAGATTTTGCGCGGTTGCCTCCTTCCCTTTGAAATATGTTGTAGTATTTGTATTTACACATAGTTTCCCTTTTTTGCAATGTTTTCAAATGGCATACAGTTGCCGTTTCTTAAGAGAATCTCGGAATTCCATGGTTCGCAATACATTTATCTCCATTTCTCTTAATTTTTAATTTTGCAAAGCAGTGCGACGATTCGCTAGCGCCAGTACGGCGCGACGGCTCGCTAGCGTGAATGTGGCACGAACGCATCAGAAGGGAAAGTTGGAGTGCGTTTGCCTGGAGGTAGCCATATCGGCGCGTCCATGACTTAAATGAAGTCTGGGATGGTCAACCGTTGTAATATTTAACAAGAGTTAATATCTGTTAGCAGGTGGTGATAACTGATAGACCGTATGCTGTTCACTGTCAACCGCACGAGGACGTGCGACAGTCAGAGTTAGCCGTGTCTGTGCATCTAGAAAATACTAGAGACGTTGCAAAACTCTAGCGAAGTAATTATTCTAGTGCAGGAAGGAACATGAAGTTGCAGGAGGCTGGTCAGTGCTGCACTGTGATATGTGTCGAGATGCTGTTGGTTTACATACTTAGGTGTTATCGTGTCACTACGTCCCTCACGATACACTTTTGTGTGATTGTGACGGCGACATGTTTGCGGTATGGTTGGTCTGTAACTGTTCTATACTGAATTGAAAAAAAAGAGAGTAAAAAAAAATGTGGTTCTTACTATCATTGCAGGGCGTTTGCCGGTCCAATGATATAGATACAGGGAATAGTGATTCCGGACTAGCATAAATAGTACTGAAAAAAAAGAGATTAAGAAAAAAGAATAGTTCTTACAATCATTGCAGGGCTTTGTGCCGGTCCAGTGATATAGCTATAGGGAATAGTGATTCCGGACTAGCGAAAACAGTACTTGAAAAAAAAAGAGAAAATAGAAAAAGCTACAGACTAATCATTCCGATCTAACATAAAGATGATTAAAGTTTTGTAGGGCTTACTGCCGGAACAAAACTGACTGTCACCCAAATCTGAAGGGTCAATATAGACTGGACCAGACGCTGTTATGTCAGGATAGTCGAACGATGTTTTTTTGTCTACAGATAACTAAAATTGTGATGGAGCGCGTGCGAGGACGCACGCATGTCAGTATGGCCGTGACGGCACCTGCACCGTTGTAGGTGCGGTGGCGTCGGTCCAGCTAGACAGAATTCTTGTAAACGACACGTGTACCGCACACCTGCGGCATTGCACCTGCGTTGCCGCCCGTCCTGCTTGTATAAAACGGACGAAGCGGCCGCCGTTAAGGCAGTCTTGGCTCTGACGTGGAACGGTGCGCTTGTCGTATTCCGTTACTAGTTTATCCTCGACTCGTTGGATAATTAATTCGTGTAAACGAATTAATTATTATTCCTAACTACAAAATTAGTCTCTGTACTATACTCAATTATACTTCCTACATATTGAAAATTCTAAAAATCCTGAAATTTCATGAGATTTGCAAAATCCAGCCGCAATCCTGAGAAGAGTCCAAAAATCCTGAAATCTCAGGACAAATCCTGAGATATGGTAACCCTAGGTTAGGTCTGTGTTCAGCAGTGGACCTTAATAGGCAGTGAAGTGGATGGATGAATGGAAGCGATGAGAATGGATCAACAACATAGTGATAACGTTGTTGAATCATGTGTTTACTGCATTTATTGATTGACATACAGCAAATGATACACACTATTATTTGATCAAAAATTAGAGGAGACTTGTGCTCGTAGGGACGTATCTAGGCTGTATACATATATTTATCGATACACAACACACAAAAAAATTGGTAGTTCAACCAAGTAGGTATATTAATATTATTTTATTATTTTTACACATACTGTAGATAAATCATTTTTATCTAACCACACTACGATAGAGATTTTACTTTTCCTACAAAATAAATGTATTGCCGCACTTAAAGGTTTTACGTCAAATATGGCTCCGTTATTTGTTTGAAATAATGTGTTATTTTTTTTTTGTAAATTTTCCTGTTTTGACATAGGTACTTTATCGAATTAATAATGACCGAGTTTTCATTTATTGTTTGACAAGCCACGATACTCTATGAAAAAAAAAATAAGATTACACGTTGTTATTTAAGGATTATTTTAATGCAGAATAGATCTCGCGAGTGCATACTCTCAACATAAATTTGAAGAATTAAATTTTATGGAACGAAGTAGAGCCATGCTGTATTCTTCTTCTTTGCTGTATTTTGTTATTCTTGTAAAAATTATCGTCACTGTTTTAATTTTTTTCGTCACAATTAAATGAAACGCTCATGAGGCGTGCAATTTTGGGTTTTCCAATTTTTAAAGTAACGTACTTTTAAACTGCCAATATTTTTTTTTATAGGATAAAGGCGACGAACGAGTAGGTACATAGTTCACCTGATGGTAAGTGGTTACTGCGTCCCACAGACATCTACATCTATTCTCGATTACGAACCAAAATGCAGATGCGTTGTCACCCGTGAGGACTAAGATGTAATGCTTCGTTTAAAGTAAAAAGTAAACTGCTATTTTATGTTGGTATTCTGTAAGAGCGTGGTCCTTCCCCAGTCGAGCTGACCCATTCGTGCTACAACTATACTACTAATATAGCTGCATCATGGCTGTACTACGTAAAAAAATAGATAATAAATACTTATTAATTCTATTAAAATTTACCTTCTAAACTTATATTTTTTGGGAAAATGTGGTTTGAAAAGCTCTCTGCGCTTTGGACTCTGCCTAACCCCTCAGAGATTACAGTCGTGACGCTATTTATGTAATTGCCACACCATTTGATTGCTACGGATGTTGAGCCTTTAAAATCCTAAGCGATAAAAATTAGTAGTCCTTAGTTAGTAGTTTTTTTATAGGTTAGGCTAACAAAGGAGCACACAGTTCACCAGATGGTAAGTGGTTGCTGTGACCCCATAGACATCTACATCTATCCTCAATAAAGAATAAAATGCAGATACGTTATCACCCGTGAGGACTAAGATGGAATGATTATTTTCCAATAAAAAGGGTCTCCGGTTCTCTACACTCACCACACGGAACACAGCAGCGTTAAGCATCTTTTTTACGCTGGTATTCTGAGGGAGTAATTAGTAATCTCGCAATATTTAATGGCATTCAAATCCTATATAAAAGATAACACTACAAAACTTTCATCCCTTGTTTTACCACACTAAGAGCTACAAATTTCTTCACATTTCATTGGAGAGTAAAAAGTTACTTAAACATTTCATCCCTTGTTTTACTACGCTAAGCGGTACAAATTCCTTAATATGGAGAGTAATGCACCCGTTGAAAAGAATCACTAAAATCGCTTCATAATCGGCAAGCAAGACGCGTAAAATACATAAAAAACCGCGTATTTGAAAACCTCTTATTTTAGGAGTCTGTTAAAAAATTACAATGTTGTCAGAACGGAAAATTCTTAATGGAGTAAAAAAGACCATATTTTTATAGCGAAAATAAATGGGAATTCATCCCAATGTGCTAGAAATATTTACTGAACAACGGAACTCTTAACCCCTCACCTAATATTTTCAAACAAATTTGATATTGCGTAATTGCGATTCATTGTAAAACGCAAATGTTTAATTTTTTTATTTTACATCATTTAATTATCTACAATATTAAAAACTATGTTAATGTTTATTTTTTTAATTTGACAAACGAGAATTCAGTCCACATGATAGTAAGATAAGGCCGTGTTCCATAGATATCTACATCTATCCATTCTCGATCAAGAGACTAAATGTATGTAAATGTGCTGTCGCCCCCAAGCGTAACAATAAATAATTTAAAATTAAAAATTTTGTACAGCCGACTTCAATATAAGTTATTTAAGAATAACTTAAAAACTATTGGTCTGACCTTGATCAAATTCATATGGGACCACACGAGAAGTACCAGCTTTCAAATAAAAAAAGAATCATCGAAATCGGTTCACCCAGAAAAAAGTTCTGAGGTAACACACATAAAAAAAAAAAAACGAAAAAAAAAGACTGTGTGCTCGTTTGTCACCGTCATCCTACAAAAAAAGAATCAGATGAAATGTAGCGCTCAGAATCGCTGGCTTGAAACACGCACGGAACAAGTATTTATATGGCTTATAAGTAATTTTTACCCGCTGAAGAAAATTCTAGTGGGGGTAACATTTTAATAAAAAAAAACTAATCTAAAATATGGAAATACAGAAAAGACTGAGAAAAATAAAGTATGGCCCAGGTTTTTCTTAATAAAAAACGATTAATAAAGTAATTTGTTTTTTTTTCAGCAATATGCCGACCGGACTGCGGCTCGCCAGGCTCATGTGTGGCGCCCAATATGTGCCGGTGTCCCAATGGTATAGAAGCGCCTTCTTGTGGCAATGGCGGAGGCTTCTATCCTTATTCTGGTGAGATATGAAGTTATCTATACTACATACGTATATGTATATAAATTGAAGTGTCTGTTTGTAATGTCACAATAACAGCTTTTACTAAATGCATACGAAAGTATATATGGTACTTATTACAAAAACACAATTTTTAAAATTTTTGTCTGTGTGTCTGTCTGTTTGTTTTGGGTAATCTCTGAAACGGCTGAACCGATTGTGACGATACTTTCACTGGCAGATAGCTAATGTTATAAGGAGTAACTTAAGCTACTTTTATTTTAGAAAAGCAATTATGGTTCCGCGCAAAAAAAATTAAACCCATAAAATCCAACCGTAATAAATTCCACGCGGGCGAAGTCGCGGGGAACAGCTAGTATTAAATATAAAAATACTTGAACACTTCTTTTTTGATTTATTCTAAAAATATTAGACGAAGTACATTTTGTGTTGAAACAAAGTTCCATTTTTACTGATAAGCGATATGTGTATGATATTGTTTCATGTAGGTTATATTTTCTGTTTATTTGAGGTCTTTGAAAATAGCAATGCACACCACATTTTATTTTTGTCATTTTTGCCAACAGCAAGAACCAGAGGAGGGTGTCGTCGCATCTGTATGAACGGTGGTACATGCACCAATGGAACTTGTGCTTGTGCACCCGGATGGAGCGGGGAATTTTGTACTGAACGTAAGTAAAATTAATTTAAACGTATCTTATTAATTTTTCATTTATAATAAGCCATTGCTTTTCTATCCTACCTAATGGTATGGAGTTACTAAAATCAAAGCCTATTCACTCTTGACTTGAACTTAAGAATCATCATCAACATCTGTACAGCTCTTCAAAAGTCGACTGTGAAACATCCCCCCCCCCCCCCTTCAGTAATTCCACAAAGCACGGTCCCGAACTATTTGTACTCATTGACTTCGTGCATATCTTACTAGGTCGCCACTCAATCTAGTGGGGGGCCGCCTATCGGTACGAGGCTGCCACTCGAGAACCTTTCTTCCCCATCGGTTCTTCCGTAGGTATAATAATCGGCAAACAACTTGAGTACTTATGTAGTTTGTTGCGCTGATTTGTATGGATAAGCGTCTCCGCGCCTCATACCTGTCTCCATCGACACCATATTAACGTTTTTCGCGCATGCTCAAGTCTATGCCGGCATACTTTGTAAACGAGGGGAAAGACTTGCTGGAAAATTAATTATTCCTCTACTTTGCTGCACGCAATATGTATGATAAAGCAAACCGTTTGGTTTGAATGCGTGGTGTGTTGACAACAGGGAATCTTTATCGAGCCTCTGGTAGGATGGAGTATTTATTTTTCAACCAAAAACATAAAATGTGAAAAGGGGACGAAATTCGATGCAATCGACGTCTGGGCTTTTCGCCCTCGATAAAAGAGTTCAAATCTGAACGGTTAAGATCAATAGCAGTTGTTTAAATCATAGCAAGAATATCTACCAGTCTTTAAATTTCAATTCCAGGGAGAATTACTAGACACGCAAAATGAAAATTTTGTAAGTCTAATGTTTTTAGCTATGGGGAGTTCTAAAGTGGCTTGAAACCGTACGTCGCCCTGTTTTCGAACTTAGCTGACACTGCCGTGTGTGTAGCCGCCTTTAATTCTCTCTTATTTAATGTCCTTGTACAATTTAGAAATTAGTTAAAAACATAAAAACTAAAAAACATCTTTGGTCAGTGCTATGACATAGTGTATAGTTTCAGGAGGTTTTTTTTTAATTTACTATGTGCAAATAATTTTATTATTTTTGGCTTAGACTTTTTAATTAAAGTTTAATTTTGTGACTTTTAGACTGGACTTACGGTATATTATAAGCCCGAATGTCACCTTAATAGTTATATTAAAACGTTCATTCCTATTTTTCACCCTCATACTTTCTTCGAATTTATACGAGACCAACACTAAACTATAACCTACTTAATAAAAAGTAGATGTCGTGTAATATACATACAAAAAAGAACATACAGTTGAATTTAGAACCTCTTCCTTTCTTTGAACTCTCCATAAGCAAAAAAAAATTACCTTCGTCTTCTTTACTAGGGTTCGATCTCCGTCAGCGCATATTATATTCTTAATTGCAGTTTTATGTGCTTTTAACACGTGATCGCCGGTGAAAAAAACGTCAAGAAACCTGCATGTTTGAGAAATTAAAAAAATAATAACTCGATGACAAGTGAGGGACTTCAACACGCACTGGGGGTAGCGTGGCGGAATTTCCTTGCCCTACAACCCTAATAGGAATGAGAGAAGGCCTGTGCCCAGAAATATGACTTATATAGGCTACTTTTTACTTCTATTAGTTACCTGATATATTAGGTTATGAGAATAATCTCTTATGTTCACGCATTTATTTATCCATAAACATAATATTATGTTAAAATCATTATAGTATTTTAGAAAACAAATTCTTAAAAATATCTTTAAAAAAAATTATATACGTATCATTAAGATAACGCTTGTCACACAGCGATCTGTCGCGAGCCGTGTCTTCATGGCGGCCGCTGCATCGCACCGGACAGGTGCGTGTGTTTCCACGGACTGTCCGGCACGAGGTGCGAGATCGACCGCAGAACAGGTGAGTTGTCTGATGCACAATGAATTTTGTTTATAAATAAACTGAAAGTGAAGTGGGTATATCTTTGCTTTTAAATTATCGTATTGTGTTGATATTTTTTTTTAATTAAATGAAGCATAAAAAACGAAAGATCATACAGTCATACATTTTAAGTGGTTGTCAACAATAGGCGCGTACATAATACAGTAAAACTCACTTAATACGATTTCTCGTTTAATACGCCATTTTATGCCAGTCCCTGCAACTTGAGGCATGTTTTCATACATTTTTAACACGCTTTCGTCATCCCGTCTAATACGCCATGTTGGTCGGAAAAGTTACGTTTTCTAGTGATTGGTAATGCGAAAAATCCACGTTGCTTCAAAAGCGTGAAATCACTCCCTATAACATATGATGCACAATCTCGAGCTTGGATGATTGGCCTTCGTTTTATTAACTGGTTAAAAGCTTTAGATGATCACTTCCAGATTAAATGTAGACGCATAATTCTCTTCATTGATAACTGCCCCGCTCACCCTAAAGATGTTGAACTAAAGAACATCACACTTGTTTTCTTACCTCCGAATAAGACAAGCAAGTTGCAACCAATGAATCAGGGCATTATAATCGTCCTTAAACAAGGCTACAGAACACGATTGCTATATCGCTATCTTAAATAAATGGAAGACCCTGACAGCAAACGACTCTTGATTGTGCATGACGCGGCCCTAAACATTGCAGCGGCATGGCAAGCGATTAAGCCTGAAACCATACAAAATTGTTTCAAGAAAGCAGGTTTCCGACACAACGAAGCTGATGTCGTGTTGGAAGAAGAACCCGCGATACTGCAGGGTTTTTCTGGATATTCTTCCATTGATTACAATGTTGCACCCTACGAAACCTGTATGATTGAAGATCTTATTCAAGATGTGAATAACACCCAAAAAGAGGCCCTAAGTGATGACGATGAAGATGAAGGAGAGTCAATTCCGATTTTTTCAAACGCAGAGGGTTTATCAGCAGTAAACGATTTAAGGCGCTATGTATCTTCTTTCGGGGAAAGTGAAGACGCACTGCAAAAGTTAAATTATATTGAAAGTCTTGTCATTAATAATGCATCAAAACCTTTTTGTTAAACCAAAATAAGTGATTATTTTAAGTAATGTCATTATAAATAATAATTAACTATGATGTAACGTATTTAAATACATATACATATGCACAACATTATACCTTTCTAACTAATTTATAAAAACCTATACCTATAATTCAATACCTACACAATATTTGCAAATGATGTTTTATTTTCCCTATCCCGCATAATACGCTTTCCCGCTTAAGTCGCGATTTTGGCTGGGTTCCTTCAAAATCGTCTTAAGCGGGTTTTACTGTATGTATATCATCGATTTAGATTAAAAAAGTAGATGCGTTGACACCCGTAAGGTAAAATGGAGTAAACGGAGTTTTCTGTTCTGGTCACTGTCATACGAATCGCAGAAGCATCATGTTATTTTACGTTGGTATTCTATATAAGCGTGATCCTTCCCGGCTGAGCAGATTTATTCCTAATGCGGTCATAATGCAGCTGCATATACATTTTGTCGCAGCTTCTAACAACTTATTGCTTATTATGGTTGCAGTACGCATGGGTCTGTTCAAACGGGAAAGGACCACGCTTTCACAGAATACCAGGGTAAAATATCAGCTTAATGCTACTGTTTCGTATTGTGAGTGTGTATACACTCACCGGATACCCTTTTACTGGACACGAGGTATTTCGTTTTAGTCCTCAGGGGTGATGAAATCTCTTAGGTCGCCGCCTCACGGTTGGCTGCCACCCTAATTATATTGTGCGAATCGCAGGGCCGTGTTACACTGAGACGCGTGGTGCGCTGTGTACGGGCGCATTGGAGGGCGTGGTGTGCACCAAACAGCTGTGCTGCGCTACCGTGGGTGTGGCCTGGGGACACCCGTGCGAGCGATGCGCTGACCTCGACTGCCCCACCGGGCACCTACGCAACCTCGCCACCAAGGAGTGCCAGGTAACTGTTGCTCATAAGCCTTCTTTTTGTTTTTTTTTTTAAAAAAACGTTACCACCACACTAGGATTTTCTCCTGTATTTTGGAGGCAGTTTACAAACACAAATTGCACAAGGACAAACATCCAGACCCGGAACAATTATTTGTAGGCCATACAAATACTTGTTCCGTGCGGGATTCGAACCCGCGGCCCCCAGCGCAGAAACTTATTGCTAAGCCACTGCGCCACGGAGCCGTCTTCTGGCTTTCCTTTCTTTACAGCCTGTATAAATTCACTGTAGAACATTCCCCCATAGATTACCTCATAGGGGGATTTTGCCATAGTGGTCACGCTTGGCGAGCGAGTGGTCAACCGCAGTTTTTTATTATTATAAGTTGTTATTAGAAAGATGCTGCTGCTCATCTTATGTTTCAGTTTCCCTCTGTCGCCTCTTACGACAACCACGGGATGATATGGGGTAGTGGATATTCTTATACCGCCACTACATGGCATTTGATATTTAATTAATATTAATTTGTTGATGACAAGATATAGTTATCGTAGATTCTCCATTTATTGAAGACCTAAAGTCAAACAATGCATTATGGAAGTTTGATGGTAAGTGCTTGTATCTAAGCCAAAAGAGCTGTGTTAGCTCAGAGGTTCAGCGTTGGAGGGTGGCATCTGAACTGCCTAATCCTATCCTGGTCGATTGCTAGGCAGAAAGGAAGCCCCACCACTTCATACTTTCCAGACAAAATATGCATATCAACAACATATTATATGTTTATCGAAATTAATGATTAACATGACTAAGTGGTAGGTCTGTATAGGAATCTGTCTCGGTAGGCACCACACTCTTATCTATTTCTGTCACCAAATAGCAGTGAGTGCAATTCTTTTTTTTATATAGGAGAGGGAGCAAACGAGCATGCGGCTCACCTGATGGTAAGTAACTACAGCCCGTGAACAAATGCAACACCAAGGTGATTCCAGACGCGTTGCCGGCCTTTTAAAAAGGAGCAGGTTCTTTCTTGAAGGTCCCTAAGTCGTACCGGTCCGGAAAAATCGCTGGTGGCAATCGCTTTCACAAGGAAATTGTGCGAGGAAGAAAACTTCTTCTAAATCGCACAGTGGTGGACCGCCAATCATCCAAATGGCACGGATAATATCGCGATTATTGTCGCGATGTGCGATGGTGAAATTCTATGTTCAGGTCTGAAGCGCATAGAGAGTCAGTACAAGGCATTCCATATTAGTCCTCAGAGGCAACCACGCGTTTGTAGTCTGCTTCGTTTACTTCAGTTGTCCTTGGACTGTAGTAGCCTGTTACTATCAAGTAAACGTGCAAGTTCGTTTGTCAATTTAGTTTTATAAATAATAACATAAGTTTAACGAACGATTCTTGGAATTTTTAAAGTGAAATTTTCATTATGATCGCCCTTTGTTGTTTCTACTCTATATAATAAAGCTCTATGATTTTCTATTTCAGGACATTGACGAATGTGCCGCTGTACCGGGACTCTGTGAAGGAGGTCGTTGCATTAATTCCATTGGATCATTCTCTTGCGAATGTCCGCCGGGACAAAGAAGACACAGGGTCTCAAACAACTGTGAGGACATCGACGAATGCGAGGACCCCGATATTTGTCCGGTATGTTGCTTTTATTAGTTGTATATTATTTCATGATCCTAATGATATATTATTATATGCCTCAAGGTCTAGTGATCGTGAACGCAATATCTGATCAAGAGGTCCCGTCTTCGAATCCAAGATCGGGCAAAAATTGGTTATTGGGTTTTTGTATCAAGAAATTCTCAGTAACAGCACGGAGTCAGGAAGTTGGCGGTGTTTCATTAACGTGCCTTGGAAAGCAGCTAACATCGTGTTTCTGTGCCTTATCACTCTCCAGCGTTTTGTATTTCCGTCTCATCGGACTATGAGAGTGAGGATATAGAGAGTGCACTTGTGCTTTTGCATACACTCAGGAGTTGATACTGGCAGCCGTGACCGAAATTCGGTGGAGGACGAAAGGAAAGAATGGAAGACATTATTATTATTGTTACAATTATACACAGTAATCGGTGAAGGTTGTATAGTTTATAGTATATATTATATCCAATATATACAAATACCGGACATATGAACAATTTAATAAATTTTGTCATTTAATAGCCAAACATTCTAGAAATTAAAGAATGTGTGGCGGGTAGATGGAAAAGGCTCCGAGTGGTAGTTGGGAGCTATTCTATATATACTGCTTTAACTTCGGAACTATGTTATCGCGATTTAGGCTTCGATGTGTTTCGCTTATGGCGCGATGACAGCGCCGCCACAAATGTCTCAAATACCCTATATTGTAGATAAGATCTTCATATGAACTAATTATCACGTGATATGTGTTTATATTAGTAATAAATATTTTTTGGTTACAGAATGGGAAGTGCGTTAATACGGAGGGGGATTATTATTGTCTGTGTAATCCCCATTTCATACCAAGCCCGGACAAGAAGTTTTGTATTGGTAAGTGAAATTACTTCTATTTCTATTTTTTTCATAAATTAGATTTATATAACATTTATAAGGAAGCAATTATTAAAGAAATAGTATTAGTAATTTTATATGAAAAGTTTCGTATGATATTTATGACATTCTCGCCAGTTACGACAAACGTTATTGATATCGTTCAGATACATTTTTCTATGATTTCTTTAGTAAACGTTTTTTTGGATTGAGAGTTCTTACTGTATGTAATCACGTAGATACATGTATCATTTTAATATCAGAAAACATCTTTAATTTATAATTGTAGCGTGCTATTATGTACGACGTTCAATCATATTATAAATAGAGTTGGGCCCAATATGTTGCCTTATGGAACCCTAAAATTAGCACTATGATTATATTCATTATGTTTTTTGATCAATTTAAGATTATTTAAGAATTAAAGAAATCATTATTTCTTTTAACGTTAGACATTGAATAACACTACTTTTATGGATTTTATCCCTAATACCAGTGGTGCTTAACCGGTGGTTCGTAGACATCATACAATTGTCTTACTTTTTGTTCTTCTTTAATTTTTGTTACATTTTGTATTTAGAAGATTTGTTGACGTAAAAAAACTTGTTAGGCATGAGTTAAAGATTAAAAGCATTTTAAATTTATTAATTATTTATTACAAATGTCCCTTCACACGACATCACTCGAGTCGCAGGTAAAAACTGGCTGACAGAAGCCAAAGACCGAGATCGCTGGTGTTTTCTGGAGGAGACCTCCATTTTCACCACTTGAGGGGTTCATGTATTAAATGTATAATTAAAAACATAAATGAAGATGTTATGTAAACTATCAATTAACTATGCAGTTTTGAACTGAAAATAAAATTAAAGTAACAATTATTTTTAAATTATTATATTGTATGTATGCAATGCATGAAATAATGTCTTTTTTTTATTTTTAAATGTAATTTTCAGACGGCCGCGTGAGCAGCTGCTACACGTACCTGAGCGAGACAGGCGAGTGCGGCGAGCGGCTCGGCGTGCCGCTGTCCAACCGCGACTGTTGCTGCGGGTACAACATGGGCCGCGCCTGGGGAGACCTGTGCACGCCTTGTCCACCACGCGGCTCCAGTGAGTTATCTGCCTTCATAACACTTGTGGTGTCGCATGTTGCGCTTAGACTTCTTCTGTTGGTACACAATTAGTAGTGCCTAGTGCGAGTTCCACAAAATTATTCGAATAACTTCACCGAGCTAACGTCGTAGGTATCGATAAGCGAAGACAAGTGAGTGCGAGTTACAATCGAAACTAAGCCTTCGATTTGCGTTTACTCACCGTGAATGGCGTTCCTTCCTTTTATTATATTGGTAGCACGTTAGTGTCGTGAAATAAACTAACCAAATTTAGAACGACATGTTTATTTAGTGGTCTTAATATTAGTTTCGTACTTAATGTACACGTTTCGTCTGTAATAATATTATATATATATTTTTATATTCTATATATTTTTATTTGATATTTGATTCACTTTAAATTTTAATTTTATAGTAACACTCGTACTTTAACTGAGTTTATTGTTTTTTCAGCTGAATGGACTCATCTTTGTGGTGGTGGCGTGATTCCACCTGATTGGCGACGAAATGACACAAGTGGTGGTGGAATCGGCAGTGGTAGTGAAACCGCCCAGCCTATTGCCAAGATCAATGAATGTATGCTAAGAGAAGGAATATGTGGGCTGGGTGATTGCGTTGATAAGGATATTGGGTATGAAAATATTTTTACTTTATTAAGAATAATTTTGTGATTTATTTTAATAACATAATTTCAATTATGATGACCGCTCCGTGGTGAAGTGGCTTAGCAATGAGTTGTTGCACTGGGGGCCGCGGGTTCGAATCCCGCACGAAACAAGTATTTGTATGGCCTACAAATAATTGTTCCGGGTCTGGATGTTTGTCCTCGTGCGATTTATGTTTATAAACTACCTCCACGATACACGAGAAAATCCTAGTGTGATGGTAATGTTTTCTTTAAAAAAAATATTACTTTACTATGGTAGTGGCAACATCATAAATAAAACTATAAAATAAATATATTTATTTAAAGGTATACAATAATTTTTTACAATTTCTTATATTAATTATAATAGAATCAGCATGGTAGCCATCACCTCATTCCCAGGGGTTATTTTTATTCATGTAATTCTTAATACATATTATGACTTCTAATAAGTATTCTTGTAATCAAAAAGAGAAAAAAAATTATAGAATATCTACTCCGTGTAGAGGTGGTGTAAGAATATTCACTAAGCCCCGTGGGTGTCGTAAGAGGTGACAGAGTGAAACAAACTACGAAATATGCGGCAACATCTTCCTAATAACAACTAAAATATAAAAAAAATGTAGTTATCAATCTGCCCGCCAATCATTGGCAACTATCGCAAATATCTCCCCTATGAGGCACTCCGTGGGAAAGGTCTTTGTTCAGCAGTGGACTTTTGATAGGCTGTAACGGAAACGTAGTAGATCTTAGACTATTTAAAAGCATTATATAAAGCAAGTCAAGATTTTTTTTAAATTAGAAAGTATTGGATAAAGTGCGTTTCAAACATGTTTATTTGGATTGATAATCATGTTGTACTTCAACATGATTATCAAGTGGCCAAAGAAATTAAATGTTGGTATCTACTCGACACATTATAATAAATTATATACAAAGAAATGTGTTCAACAAACCCATACAATAGAGATAGATATGTTATTAACTTTTCAGTTTAAATAAAATCATTTTTTCTTATATCATCTATAATTTAAAGGTGTTCCGTACACTTTATATGGACATTGCAAGGTCCGTTTTGTAGCCCCATTGGCATATAGTGTAAATATACTAGAATTTCATCTAATTTATTGTTACCCTTGTAAGTAAGTCTTTTTAAACTCAATATGTAACACATATCTATACGTATGAAAACAGATACCAGTGCGAATGTTGGGACGGTGCGGAGGCGGCCGAACAAGATGGCAACCCGACTTGTATTGATATTGACGAATGTGCACTCGAATATTGTAAAGGTGGCAACTGTATTAACAAACCTGGAGGTTTCGAATGCAGGTAAGTTTCGTGGCTGAAGCATAATTTTAAACGTTTAAATCAATCGTATTTTTTATATAAACTGTTCAGGCGAAAATATGTTTTATTAAATATTTCCTTAAGACCTTTTGTTTTTCAAGATGTCCACCCGGTTTCGATCCTGTTGAAAATGGACTAAGATGTAGTGACAAGAACGAATGTGAGATGACCAATGGCGGCATGTGTACAAATGGAGTATGTACTAACGTTGATGGAGGGTAAGTAATTTCGAGTTAAGATAATACATAGGTTATAAGAAATTATTTAGTGATTTTGATATTGTCACTCCAATTTTAATCATTGGATATCGTTAAAGTGGTAGATCTAAGCTGCAGCTATATTATTATGGTTGCAGCACGAATGGTTCGGCGAGACCGGAGAAGGACCACGCTCTCACAGAATACAAACGCAAAATAGCAGTATAATACTAACGTGTTTCGTATTATGAGTGTAGATAACCATAGTCCCTTTTCTACAGACTTAAAAAAGGAGACTATAATCAATTCGACTGTATGTTTTTTTATGTGTGTTACCTAATAACTTTTTACTGGGTGAACCGATTTCGAAAATTCTTTTTTTATTTGAAAGCTGGTGCTGCTACTGTAGTCCCATATAATTTGGTCAAGGTTTGATCAATAGTGTTTGAGTTATTCTGAATAATTTATATAAGAATAAGAAGTCGGTTGTACAATTTTTTTATATTCAATTATTACTGGTAATATCAGAGGTGACAACGCATTTTCATCTTGTTTCTTAATCGAGGATAAATGTAGGTGACTATGGGTTATGCATTCACTCACCTTCAGATAGACTGTGTACTTTTGGGTCATCCTTATTCTATAAAGAAAGTTAGATATTCATAGGACTTTTGGTCCGATATCAAGATAATATATATTACATAATTATCTAGATTAGTAAAGAGCAATGGTGCTTAAATTTACTATTCACATTTCTGCTAGACTTATGGAGTAATTAGTTCACCGTGCTGCTGCAATGTTGGCGGAATTCACGCAAATATTTTATATAATCCTTAAACATGTATGTATGGTTTCCTCACGATGTTTTCCTTCAATGTAGAGCACGTGGTAAATAAGCACTTTAATTAACAATTAACAATGTTATTAGTGCCGGCGGGGATCGAACCCCAAAAAATGAATTATACTATAAGATATCATTATATTATATAAATTGTAATACATAATGAATGTCCACACATAATCTATAGGTCACTGGTTCAAGTCAGGCTTGAAGGACTATTATGTTTTAGGTGGTAAATAAAGGTTAATTGTATAATAAGTTTTTCACTGAGGATTTACAATTAGGGCATTTATATAAATTAAATTAAATGAGCGCGCGATTGTGCTCTGATTCAAGTGCCGATGTAGGGATTGGTGGGTGCAAGATCTAATCCACTGCCGCTCCATCATCGGACTCACTGCTCGCCGTCATCTTTTTATGTGTGAACAATGGATATAATTATAATTGGAAAAATGGGCAAAATAGTTAGAGCTCCAAATTTTCCATCTGAATTTTAGACGTTATTGTATGCTAATATTCGTAAAGTGTATTACGGCCCGCATGTGCATAGATTCGAGTGCACATACAACCCGGGCATCAAGTCACGCGTACTTTAGACGTTATTGTATGATAATATTGGTAAAGTGTATTAATGAGTGCGTGCGCACATTTGTTACCCTGAACTACGAGTTTATATTGTACATTATTTGTATGATAATGTTGGTAACGTGTATCGCAGTGTACTTGTTTACGCAGTTTCGAGTGCATATGCAACCCGGGATATAGTAGTAAATTGCATTGGGATGTACATGTTCACGCAGTTTCGAGTGCACGTGCAACCCGGGCTACGAGTCGACGGAGACGGGGCACGCGTGCCGCGACGTGGACGAGTGCGGGGACAACCCGCGCGTGTGCCGGCGCGGCCGCTGCCGCAACACGGCCGGCGCGTACGAGTGCAGCTGCGAGCCCGGCTTCGCGCCCAGCGCCGCCGGCTACTGCGCGGACGTTGACGAGTGCGCCGACGCCTCCGTCTGCCAGGTACTGACACATTGCTACATATGTTTTTTTTTATAGGATAGCGTGACAAACGAGCACACAGTCCACCTGATAGTAAGTGGTTACTGTGACCCATAGACATCTACATCTATCCTCAATAAAGACTCAAGATGCAGATGCGTTGTCACCCGTGGGGCCTAGGATGGAATGCCTCTTTGCCAGTAATAAGGGTCTTCGGTTCTCTACACTCACCATATGAAACACAGCAGTTTTAAGCTGCTATTTGACGCTGGTATTCTGTGAGTGCGTGGTCCTTTCCCGGTAGTTGATTTGTTTTGACATTTTTGATATAATGTATTTCCGCAAAGTAACGCGCGATGGTATTATTTGTTTTCAGGGCGGGCGGTGCGTGAACAGCGAGGGCTCGTTCCAGTGCGTGTGCGAGGCGGGCTACCGCGCGACGGCGGCGCGCGGCGCGTGCGTGGACGTGGACGAGTGCGCCGAGCTGCGCGTGTGCCGCAACGGCCGCTGCCGCAACTCGCCCGGCTCCTTCCGCTGCGACTGCTTGCCCGGCTTCACGCTCAGCAGCGACGGCCGCACCTGCCTCGGTAAATAAACACTAATCTCACACAAATTTTACAACTAAACATATACTAGTAACTATTCAAGCTATGATATAATTCTACACAAATGAATAAAATTGAAGTGTCTTTTCTACAGACTTCAAACAGGAGACGGTATTCAATTCGACTGTATTTTTTTTGTATTACCTCATAACTTTTTTCTGGGTAAACCGATTTCGATGATTCTTTTTTCATTTGAAAGCTGGTGCTTCTCATTTGGTCCCATATAAATTTGGTCAAGGTCTGACCAATAATTTTTGAGTTATTCTTAATAATTTATATTGAACGCGATTGTACGTTGCGATTGTTGTTAATTTTAAATTATTGTAAAATCAAAATAACAACTTTTTACCAAATGTTTCAAAAATATTTCAAATTTCTTTATATATATATATATAGTTTATTTAAAATATAAAAGATTTTTAGTATTGATGTGGTCACTATAAGATGTTGTTAGGTTAGCTAATTTCGTAATAACTTAAGATAAAAGGAGCCTTAAGTAGGGACTGAATAAATTAACCGACTTGGTTAATTTATTAGTTGCAAGACTTGGTTTTTTTTACAAGTTATGTTTTGATGGCATTTAAAGTATATACGGTACGAGTATTTATAACAAAAACATAATATTTAAAATTTTTGTCTGTCTTTCTATTTGTTCCGGCTAATCTCCGAAACGGAGTAACTTAGACTATTTATATTTTATAAAAAGAATTAGGGGTCCGCGACCTGTGCCCTGTGACCATTCCAGCTATGATATTAATAATAAATAATGTCGTCCAAGGGCCACTATCCCGTGGGTGTCGTAAGATGCGAGATTGGGATATACGTGGTAGAGCCACGATGCAGCTTTTTTATGTTTATGTCGGCATGGCCGTAAAAGACCACGTTCTTAGAGAATACCAGCGTAATATAACAGCTCCAACTTCCTTCTTTTATAGAATTAGGGTGTCATACGAGCACACAGTCCACCTGATGGTAAGGGGTTGCTGTGACCCATGGACATCTACATCTATCTCCGTTTGCGAATTAAAATGCAGATGCGTTTTCAGCCGTGAGGACTAAGATAGAATGCCTCTTTTCCAGTAAAATAGGTTACCGATTCCCCACACTCACCATACGAAATACAGCAGCAATAAGCTGTTATTTTAGACTGGTATTCTGTAAGAGTGTGGTCCTTCCCCGGTCGAGCCGACCCATTCATGCTACAACTATACTATTAATATAGCTGCAGCATGGCTCTACCGCGTAAAACATGTTCCGAACTGCTACTGAGAATTTCTGGACAGGAAAACCAAATAACTGATTTTGACCCGAACCGGGGTTCGAAACCGGAACCTCATGATTAGCAATCCTATTTACGACAGCTTCACCAACAAGGCTGTCAGCATAATATTAACAATGCCGTAGTAATCGTCAAACGTCAATACCTTTACTCGTACTATGTATTTTAATGATATTAATGTAATGTTTACTTTTTGTTGCAGATGAAGTTCAAGATCTTTGTTACGAGAAATACGAAGAGGGACATTGTACTGGGCCTGGTACCACTCCTGTCACCAGGTCACAGTGTTGCTGTAGTTCTAGCAAAGGTATATATATCTATTATTTCAAACCAATTTCAAAGTGAGAAAGCGCGTATTATTATATATTTGTTAACTTTTATAGGTCTTCGATTGGGCTGGGGAGTTGCGTGTAAGGAATGTCCCAAACAAGGAACCAAGGAGTACGATATATTATGCCCAGAGGGACCAAGTAAAGATAACGGCGGCGCAGACATAAATGAGTGCACAACGATCCCGGGAATATGTCCTCACGGAACCTGCGAGAATTTAGAACCCGGTTACAAATGTATCTGTGACCCTGGATTCCATCCCGATGCTGATGGAATTTGTAGGGATATTGATGAATGTGACATGCATCAGTCGGTAAGTACTTTGTAATTGATTAAATATGTTATACTCGCAACCATCAGTGGTGATGTGTATTTTCTAGTAAAGAGGTCAGAGTAGTTTTGCGGGTATTTCTGTTAGCTGTAATATTGGCAGTGAGTAGACGCTCTTTTAAGGAGCAAAATAATCATAATAATTTTCACAAAGTAATACCTAATGCCATTAATTCTTTTATAATTTACATCACTTATGTTTTTTCTGCTAGAAAATCTTAACTCGTGTTAATACATAAGGAAAATATTATTTTACACTGGTAGCTGGTATCCGGCGCGTTGTAGCCGCAAAATAAATAATTGTGGAATATAGTTTTAAATTTGGAAGAGTTATTGTTTAATTAGGAATACATCCATTGAAATTGAATGATATATAACTTTCCAAAAAAAAAAAAATTGTCAGTACGATGCGCACTCTACTGGAAGTTAATTGTACTATGCCTATAACCTTTGCAAGAGTGCATGCAATAAGTTGACAAGTTATAGCACGATCCGATGAACGGTATGGCACCGCATAAAATACGAACAAACAAAGATTAATTTTTATATATTAGATTATTTTAAAACTTATAGTATAGCTAATGAGACAATTGAGATGTTCACATATTTTTATTACTGTAAATTACATTTTTAGACTTATTTTTAATCACATCTTAATTTTCAGTATTGTACTGGTGGACAATGTCGTAACACAATGGGGAGCTTCAATTGCGTTTGTCCCCCCGGTACACGTTACGAGGCTGAAGAACAAATTTGTCGAGACATTGACGAATGCGAGGGTGAGCTTCTTTTCATCGTCAAGGATTATGACAGAGGGGACATACCCCCCATGTTCCCACTGCTCACAGGTTACGAACCTTTGTGAAATGCATCCGATATCGCACTGACCTTGCATTTGGCATCCTAACGTCATGCCAATGTTGCCACGTGAATCCATTCTTCTTACTCGCGTTACATTTGCCTGATATCATGGGTATACACGTAACATGGGTTCATACCAGGATTGAAACAAACAGCATATATTACTAGAATTTCGCTGTTAAATAAATTAACATGAGATCATTCAAGTAATATTCTCAGTTATATTATTAACATCGTCATTTATAAAAAGATTAACTGCATTGTTCATTTTTTACATTCATGTAATTTTAAATTAATTAATTAATATTTATAATATATGATTGGCTATACATACTTTTAAAATTGTTGTTTTTAAATATACTTCTATACGTCTACTGTTCTGTTTATGAGTATATTTTTTTTGTCCATTATTATGAGTAGTTCTTTATCAAGTTATCAAGTTTAAAATTTACGCCTTATTGGGTAATAAATTTATAAATTTTATCGAAAGAAATATTCAAATTGATTTTCGGGAAATTATTTGTTTATTACAGAACAATCTAATCCATGTGATAATGGACGATGTATAAATACCCACGGAAGTTACGAATGTGAATGCGAACATGGTTTTGTTTTGGACGCTACGGCTCAACATTGTCTTGGTAAGTAATTTCTTTTAAATCTGTAAGTATTTTAAGAGTTCGATTAATATTATGGAGAGCGAAACGAAAAAATAGTTGGTTTTAATGCGAATCCACGTCTACCCGTAACATTTGAAGATTGCGATTACGAATTTAGGCCGGCCACACACATACAGAATCCAGATATGCCCGCAAAATTTCGAACGGATAACTACCGTACGTGTGTGGCGGGTCATAAATTTTATATAGACTTGCTGCGTTCGGAATTTCGAATCGGAATATCGAAACAGAATCCCGAAACGGAATTCCGTATGTATGCGGCGGGCTTTAAGTTAAAAGTATAAAATTGGATCATTTAGACGAAAGTTTAATATCTGAAGATGTTGGAGGTTATCTTTATATTAAAAACTAATGTTACAGATGTTATTCTGATATCAAAAAGAAAAAGAAATTAAATTGTTTCTTTTTATTTAATTATTTCGTTAACTATTGGATTTTGGACATTGAAGTACTTATACAATTAATTTAGAGAAATATTACGTTTTGATCGTCCTTTGCGTTTTACCACTCTAAGATCAAAAATCGGATTTATCGTCCACAAGTCTCTCGTTAACAACGTTGTAAAGATCGGGAATCACCAAACGGTATTCGCTGAAGGTCATACAGGTTTACGCACCAACCTCGGCACACCCCGATGAGGAGGTGGAGGAAATGTATGAGGATATCTCTAGAGCCATGCATTCCTCCAAAACCCAATATACGGTGTTAATGGGAGACTTCCATGCAAAACTAGGCACAAGAGAGAACGGTGAGCTGAAAGTAGGGAAATTTGGAATAGGGCAACGAAACCCAAGGGGCCAGCATCTGGCAGACTTCATGGAGAAAGAGAGACTCTTTATGATGAACTCTTTCTTCCAGAATCGGCCCCACAGGAAGTGGACCTGGTCGAGCCCCGAGGGTTCGACAAAAAATGAGATTGACTTCACTATGACGACGAGCCGACAACTGTTCAGTGTTGTCTGCGTGATCGCGAGGGTGAAAACTGGTAGCGATCACCGAATGGTTAGAGGCACACTGAACCTAAACGTTAAGTTGGAGAGGTCTCGTCTAATGAAGTCAACGCTCCGTCCCCCTCGTGCTCTGTTCCAAAGTCCTGAAACCTTTCAGCTCGAGTTACAAAACCGTTTTCAGTGCCTAGAAGATTGCAATGAAGTGGACGATATGAATGACAAGCTCGTGGAAACTGTCCGTGCAGTCGGATCTAAGTTCTGCAAGACCCGCCGCAGAAGAACACAAAAACTCTCCGATCACGCTCTTAATCTCATGGCTGTTAGACGGGAGATGAAGCTACATTCTTCAATAGACTTGACAGCATACAGGCATCTGAACAGACAGATCTCCAAATGCATGCGGCGGGACTTACGCAACTTCAATACAACTCGTATTGAAGAAGCGATCGAGCGGAACCAAGTCTCTAAAGTCTTTGCCAGAGATCTGTCTGCAAGAAAGAGCCAACTGTCAAAGCTGAAGACAGAATGTGGCAGCATCGTTTCCGGGACACCTGAGATTTTGAGTGAGATTGAGAGGTTCTATGGGCAGCTGTACACGTCATCGTTGGAGCCACACGCAAGTGTGAGTAACGATCCAAGAGCGAGTCTCATCCGACACTATTCCGAAGATATCCCGGACGTCAGTCTGAGCGAGATTAGAATGGCTCTCCAGCACCTTAAAAACGGTAAAGCCCCAGGCGAGGATGGAATTATAGCGGAGCTTCTGAAAGCGGGTGGAAGACCGGTACTTGAAGTCCTTCAGAAGCTCTTTAATTCCGTCTTCCATGGTGGCATTACACCGGAGGCGTGGAGCAGAAGTGCGGTGGTCTTGTTCTTCAAGAAAGGTGACAACGCTTTCTTGAAGAACTACAGACCGATTTTCCTTCTGAGCCGCGTCTACGTGCTGTTTTCGAGAGTCATTACGAATCGTCTCGCGCGCAGACTTGACGACGTCCAGCCTCCCGAACAAGCCGGTTTCCGAAAGGGCTTTAGCACCATAGACCACATACATACCCTTCGGCAAATTGTACAGAAGTCAGAGGAGTACAATTTGCCACTATGTCTGGCGTATGTGGACTATGAGAAAGCCTTTGATTTCGTCGAAATTTGGGCGGTGCTGCAGTCCCTTCAGCGGTGCCAAGTTGACTGTCGGTATATCGAAGTGTTGAAGTGTTTGTACAGTAGAGCTACGATGGCTATCCGAGTACAGAACCAGATTACGAAACCTATCCAATTGCAGAGAGGTGTAAGACAGGGTGACGTCATATCCCTGAAACTCTTCACCGCTTCATTGGAAGACGTTTTCAAGCTTCTGGACTGGAAAGGATACGGTATCAACATCAATGGCGAGTACATCACTCACCTTCGATTTGTCGACGATATAGTCCTTATGGCAGAATCGCTGGAGGACCTAAGCACTATGCTCAATGACCTCAATAGAGTTTCCCAACGGATAGGTCTTAAGATGAACATGGACAAAACAAAGATTATGTTTAATGTCCATGTCACACCTATGCCGGTAGTTGTTGGGAGCACTAAGCTCGAAGTTGTTGACGAGTATGTTTACCTGGGACAAATAGTCCGACTAGGTAAGTCCAACTTCGACCGAGAGGTCAATCGACGGATTCAACTCGGCTGGGCAGCGTTCGAGAAGCTACTACACATTTTCTCGTCAGACATACCTCAAAACCTTAAAACGAAATTGTACAACCAGTGCGTGTTGCCAGTGATGACTTACGGAACTGAGACGTGGTCCTTCACAGCTGGCCGTATGAGGAAGCTCAAGGTCGCTCAGCGAGCTATGGAGAGGGCTATGCTCGGAGTTTCTCTGCGTGATAAACTTAGAAAGGAGGATATCCGCAGTAGAACTAGAGTAACCGACGGATTAGTAAGCTGAAGTGGCAGTGGGCCGGCCATATAGCTCGAAGAACCGACAACCGATGGGGTAGAAAGGTTCTCGAGTGGCAGCCTCGTACCGGTAGGCGAAGTGTAGGGCGACCCCCCACGAGATGGAGTGACGACCTGGTAAGGCATGCAGGAAGTCGATAGATGCATGTGGCTCAGGACCGTGCTTTGTGGCATTTCTTGGGGGAGGCCTATGTTCAGCAGTGGACTTATGAAAGGCTGTAATGATGATGATGATGATGATGATGAAGATCAAAAAGTACATTTTGACCTGTTACTTTTTTCGATTTCTGTGCGTTATATCTCTTTTACCACCAAGAAGAAAACCAGGAAGGCCACCAAGAAGCAATGTCAAATCAATCAGCCTTCGTAGTGTATCGAAAGCGAACTAAGTTTTGCTTTCAATATAAATAGAATGGGTAAGATAAGGTCAATTTTCCATACAGTGGACCCTTAGGTGCACCGGACGTAGAAAGTTTTTGTGCATCAATTGGAAACGCTGCCTATAATCAGTTTATTGTTTTCTGTTTTACCCTGTTTGCGCAATATCATGAAACTTGATTCTGTTGATGGAATTACTGCGTGTATGTAAGAGGTTGCTTAGATGGATTGCTTACAGCGTAAAATATAAAGCATGTTGTCGTGTTAACATGTGCATGTACATTTACAAGAATTATATTATTTTACACAGTAATACTATGTGCTCATGATAAGAATCGAATCGTACGTGCCAATAACTTCACTTTATAATTGTTGTAATTGTAAATATTGACACGAGTCGTGCGGTGTGGTGAATTGTGTGGTGAGCGGTGTGGTGTTGTATTTGTGCAGACAACCGGCGCGGGTCGTGCTGGCGGCGCGTGGTGGACGGGCAGTGCGAGGGCGCGGCGCCGGGTGCGCTTTTGCGCCAAGAGTGCTGCTGCAGCGTGGGGCTGGCCTGGGGCTCACCCTGTGAGCCCTGTGACCCTCAACACTGTCCCTGCCCCAAGGGATTTGCCAAGGTGGGATGATCTCTCAATTTTACCTTTTAGAATTTTTTAATCGTTTAACTTGCAGTTCTGTTTTCACTTGGGTGAAACCAAGGTGAAGTCAATATAAGACATATTTAATTAAAAAATTTAAATTTGTGAAGAATGTTCAAGTCAGCAGTCACAAAAGCAAAAGTATTTTTAGTAAAAGAAATGATGTGCACTCTGTAAACACCAGGAACAAATATTCGATTCCACAGAGTCAGTAATTTAATGTATACGATATTACAAAAAAGTTCTATGAAAATGTACAAAGGCTGTATAACAAGGGCTAATATAATATAAATGAATACATGGTTGATAATAACCCCTAGAAATGAGGTGGTCCAAGTTCTCTCTAAAATAAGATTTGTAAGTAGTTTGTACCTGTGCTTTATTGTAAAATTTTATTTTAAAAGTCCCAAATGGATTTCTTACCAGTTCTTCCCAGGACAAAGGTTTTTCATTGTAAAACTCAGCAAAGATTTAACAAGAAATATTTTATTTAATAAGCTGGATGGAGCAACGTGCCGCGATGTAGATGAGTGCATGCTGGATCCAGAGTTGTGTATCGGCGGCTCCTGTGTCAATACTGACGGGTCATATCGCTGCGACTGTCCTCCCGGACTCACTCTCGACTCCACTGGTAAGAAAACGTGTCCATTATTAGTTTGTGTATTTATTTTTACCTTATTATATTCAATCAGTCCAATCACCATTATAATCATTATCTTAATAATAATAAACTTCGCTTTGGTAATTGTGAGCACCTGCAAGAAAAAATCAGGGGTATACACAATACTGACTGGGAGGAAATGCTACAACTACAAGGCATTAACTACGACTGTAACCTGTAACACTGTAACGACACTTTACCTTGAGTAAAAGGTGTTTACAATTAAAAAATGCCTTTTCATTCGATTACAATATGAGTGTCAAGGCAGGTGTGAAGAGGCTTTTGTTGAGCTAAGTCAGTGCACTTTACCATCAGCGGCTACATCATCACTTAACATCAGTTAGGATTGCATTCAAGCACTGGCTTGTAATAAAAAAAAAGAAATAATAAAATAAAAAAGAAAACTATTTCTAGGTAATCGCTGCGTGGACACACGCAAAGAGTATTGCTACACGGACTACATCGGAGGGCGTTGCACGAATCCGTTGCAAGTGGAAGTATATCGTGCGATTTGTTGCTGTTCCTCCCTCGGGAAGGCATGGGGGGACGGCAGATGCGAACCTTGCCCCAAAAAAGGTAACATTATAGTTCTTATCGAAATTAGTTTACCATAGATAATTTAAATTTGACTACGTATAATGCAGTTAGGTATGTTAGGTGGTACAGCCATGATGCAGCTATATTATGGTTGTAGCACGAATATGTCATCTCGTAAGGGAAGAACCACCATAGTTTCTTGTGGTCAAAGAGATGTTTATGTTAAATTTAAGAAAAATCTTGTCGAAATTGAAACTGATAACTGACAGAGCTTCGAGACAATACTAAAAACATCAAATTATTCAAATCGTGTATGGCTCTTTGTCTCATAATGTACATCTGTGCCTGAGCAACCGTGTTTCTCTCAGCGTTATGGATCTTTTACGATATTTATGTTATATTCGACGACTCAAAGGTAATATTATAGAAATATAATTACATAAATTCGAGTATCGATTGCTCAAGTAACCTTTTAGACTCTAAAGCTCCCACTAGAATGAAACTCCTTTCTGCAGTTTCGCCTTTTGCCCCGTCTCTACCTAGTAACGAATAGTTGCGCCACCAACCGGTAGTAAACAACGTCAACTACATAAATAAAACTAATAATAATTAAAAGAGTTTTGGAATAATACAAATGAACATATTTTTTTATTAATACATATCTTTATACGTGATAGAGCCATGCTGCAGTTATATTAGTAGTATAGTTGTAGCACGAATGGGTCCGCTCGACCAGCGTAAAATAGCAGCTTAAGCTGCTGTGTTTCGTACGGTGAGTGTAGAGAACCGGAGACCCTTTTTACTGGAAATGAGGCATTCCATCTTAGTCCTCACGGGTGACAATGCATCTACATTTTGATTTGTAATCGAGGATAGATGTAGATGTCTATGGGCCGCAGCAATCAGCAACCACTTACCATCAGGTGGACTGTGTGCTCGTTTGTCACCCTTATCCTATAAAAAATATCTTTAATTATTTGGTTTTGATGAAATTATGCTTACGGTAATAATTTATTTTAAATCATATTGTACGAGCATGTAATGCAACGTACAATTGTTAAGTAATCATTTCACAACTTGACCTCTTTTACATATTTCCGCGGCAAATGTATTTTAAATTCAGTTCGCTTATAGCCACCAACGTTATGTGTACACATTATCAGTAATCTAGCCTTTATAATTTGTAAACTTATCCAGAATATGTTTTTATTAAATTTATCAAGCATATCAGTTTATCATCCCCTTAATATCGGTACAACCCCGAACACATATATTACATAATTAAATTAATGAATTTCGGCATAAACTTCAGAAATCAAGTGATGCTAACTGTATATAATAAAAAAAAAATTCTAAACTAAACATCCAAAATCATGACATTTGACCATTGACTAGCGGGTCTAGCTCCGGCGAAACGCATTTCACAATTATCATGACAAATGATACACATATTTAGATGAGCTTAAGAAGTGAAAATTGTAAATATTGATATTATTCAAATACGAAATTTTATCCAAGTAAGTCTTAACCAAATCAAAGTATTAGGCTTTGACCTCAGTAACTGTGTACCATAAAATTGAGTAACTTTGTAACCAGGCTTTACGTGAACTGTAGCGTTATTTTATCGGAATTAAAACCTAGTAATCAACAAGATATGAGAACTTCACTGAAAAGTGATGTGGATTTTCTTGAAATTTATCTTAATTTATAGACTTAAGAAAAAAATTTGAAATTACCCCTATATTTCTAGTTGTAACCACATTACTACAGTTTTTATTGATACTGTATACAATTTTATGTACAGTGGTTTTCTTACGGTTTGAAAATTCACTTTATCTTATTTGTAATAAAAATAAACAAAGAATTGTATTCGGGGCTAAGTTTCTCTTGCATCCCACCCGCCCTCGTCCAAACGTCAGAGCGGGGCGAGTCGTGTTGCTAGGCGGACCTATGATGTGTTGCAGGAGGAGTTTTCCACCTTAACAATAAATAAATTATCTTTCTAAATATTGTTTGCATACTGTAGACTGGTGTCATAGAGTAGTAAAGTTACAGAGAGGTTACCAATGCTTTAGTACCTTTATTGTAGTAAAAGTTGTAATCCCATTTACAATATACGTATGTATGTATAGTTTTAAATAATTTTGTAACTTATGTATTGAAAATAATTATTTAGGTACGGACGCGTATCGCAACCTCTGTATATCCGAAGTGAGTGGACCACCGACTATATGGGATAGACCGTACCTCGGAGGACCGAACAAAACTGACATTTGGAGCCACACAGGTCCCGGAGACGGCTTTGACGACAATTGGGATGTTGACGTTGGAACCAACGTAGGCAACGGTTCGTTCGACGGATGGGGTTCCGGGAATGGAGTCATACCTGGACAGATGGAAGTTAACGAATGTTCCGCTTTCCCTGGACTTTGCGGACACGGAAGATGCAGAAATATGCTGGGAACATTCACATGCGATTGCTTCCCGGGATATGAGAAGGTGCGCTTATTTTTATTATATTAATAGTGTTGCACCGAGTTTCCTGTCTTGTCTAACGTTTGGCATAAACTTTTTATTTAGTCTTTGTGAAATTTCCCATAGTTACCTCTATGGAAAGTTTCGATAATAAAGAATCGACAAGCGATATGTTTTCTCTTACACCGGACCGTTAGAGTTTTTTTTACAAAGCTTCTTTTCTATTTCGTAATTTGTTCTGTCATATACCAAGTTAAGTTTACCACAAAGATATTAAATAGGGTATAAGAACTAATATGGTATAGATGAGTGAAGTAGAGGATAATGGCATAGACATTTCTTTTTTTTGTTTTGTTTGTTTATGATCTGATTCAAATTGATCTGCCAATAAATACTTTAATATGAACTAAACCTTTTACTTTTAAAGATGTTACAAATTGATTGATACTTACCATGCGTAAACTATAATATCGGTACGACTTTCAATTGAAGTCAGTTGGTGGTTGATATTTTTTTTTACAAAAATGTTACATTATTATAAGCACACACGCAAAGTTTCAACATTCGGAGACACGTACTTTTTGAGAAAAAATAAATTGAAAATCAACTACTTTTGCAATATTTATGTCAATTGATACCGTAAAACTGACGCCATTTTTTATTGTCGTTGTCAGTAGGGATGTCGATTATTTCCGAAAAAGTTCGATTTTTTTTACAGATCCAAATTGTAAGCTGATGTATCGATTCACAAAAAATCGATTTCGAAATAAAATAATTGAAAAATTATCTATTGCATAATTTTCTACTTCGTTCATCTATCTCATAATCCATCCATTCATTACAGCTTAAAAGAGTCCACTGCTGCCACATAGGGGTATTTTGCCATAGCTGTCACGCTTAGCAGGCGTGTTGGCAACCGCGATTTTTATCAGGATGGTGCAGCTGCCTGTTGCCTGTTTAATTTCCCTCTGGAGTCTCTTACGACATCCATAGGATGACTTGAGGTAGTGTGTATGTATCTTACACCGCCACTACACGGTATGTTCCATATTGCACTCTATTTTTTTGTTACGATAAAAAATCTCCTGTATATAACACAATATACTGTACTTTCAGTTGATATATATGCACATTTTCTTTTAAGTTCTTTATGGTGGCAGAGTGAGAGAATAGCTAGATGGTAGGGTTGCTTTTCTGAACAGGAGTACGTCTAGGTAGGTAATGCACGATTACTGCCGCCAAGCAACAGTGCGTGCAATACCTTGCTTCGTTCTAAAGGCGGCCCTTCACGTTGGCCAACATAGTGGCAAATGTGTTGGCCATATTAGCTAAGTTTGTGATGGCGTCCACACGTTGGAAGGTCGTTCAGTTGGCTTCGATTCGGGCCAATGTGCGAACTAATTTATTAAAATGGATATTGAGGCGCTAACGGCTGCTGCGGTTTATTTATTCACAACATATCGCTACTATGTGAATGTGTATATATGTGTATATATGTATAATGTGTATAATTTAATGTGTATAATAATATGACTCTGGAAGCTCGTAGAAAACTAAACGTGCGCCCAACGTGTGGTCGCGGCGGCCAATACTCTGCCACAACCCTTTGATCTTTTGTAAAAAACCGACACCACACGGATCTCGCGCCAACTTGTGGGCCATCATTCCAATACATACCAACGTAAGCACAAACACCCGCGCTACACGATGGCCATTGGTATTAAAAAAGTAAAATAAATAAATAACATAAATCCGCATGCAGGACTCTAAGAACCACACGTGCGTGGACGTGAACGAGTGCGAGATCGTGGATGGGGTGTGCGGCGCAGGCGAGTGCCACAACACGGACGGCGGTTTCTCCTGCCACTGCCACAGCGGCCACCGCCCCGATCCGATCTCCAAAGTCTGCGTCGGTACGTGCACCAGTTTACTTGATTACTCACGTTTACTTATTTTATAGAATTACTTTATTTTTAATTAATTGTGTAATTCAAAGGTGATCAAGTATCAATTGTTTTCTTGGATTTTCAATCCACTTGTATCACGGCTCCGTGGCGCAGTCGCTTAGCAATGAGCTGCGGTACTGAGGGCTGATGGTTTGAATGCCGCACGGAACAAGTATTTGTATGGCCTACAAATAATTACTCCGGGTCTGGATGTGTATCCTTGTGTAATTTATGTATGTAAACTGCCTCCACATTACAAGAGCAAATCCTAGTGTTGGGCTTATGTTTTTTTTAGAAAAAAATAGAAATTCTAATCTTTCCTTATGATTTAGGAAGAGATTTTTTTCCAAATCCTAGTGTATGGACAACGTTTTTTAAAATAGGAGTAACTTGTTGGGTGATAGTTGCACATATAACACTCGTATACCAAAGTTGTAGGGTTAGCCAAGTTGAATTTGACCGGAATTCAGAGATAATCTCAAGTTTAAATTTAAACTTCACAAAGTTTAAATTTGTGAAATATTTTTTCTCGGAACTCTCGGTAGTGAGTAATAGTATCCCGTTGTCTAGATTCAAACTTTGACATTGTGGTGTTTGAGCTTTATCTTAAAATCATCTCATGATTGACTTATATTACGTTCGTGAATATCACATGACTTTGACATTGATCGATCAGCGTGATCTTCTGGTCTACATGACTCATAGATGGGCGGAGGCAGTAGAGTCTAAGGGGGAGGCGTTGGCCGTTAGTTTGACCATTGCGAAGGCCTTTGATCGGGTTTGGCACAAAGCGCTTCTTCCGAAGCTCCCTTCTTATGGGCTTCCCGAGAAATTGTGCAATTGGATCACCAGCTTCCTTACAGATTGGAGCATCAAGGTCGTTGTAGACGGTGCATGCTCCGACTACAAGCCTTTTAACGCTGGTGTTCCACAAGGCTGCGTGTTATCACCAACGCTGTTTCTTCTGCATATCAATGATATGTTGCTAACTGGTAGCATTAATTGCTATGCGGATGACAGCACTGGTCATGCTCTATACACCGGCCGTGCCAATATTTCTCGGGAAAACTTGGCCGAGTACCGGAACAAATTTGTGTCTGAAGTCGAGTCTCTACTGAACAAAGTCTCGGATCGGGGGCGACTAAATCTAGTCCAGTTTAATCCTCAGAAGACACAAGTTTGCGCGTTTACCGCTAAAAGGAACCCCTTTGTCGTCAAGTCAATCTCCTCAGTTTCAAGGTACTCCCCTTCTTGCCTCTGCTAGTAGCAGTAGCTTGCAGTTTTTCGTGGGCGGGGGTAGTCACTTACCATCAGGTGAGCCGCATGCTCGTTTGCTCCCTCTCCTATAAAAAAATTCAACGATTACCAGCACAGAGTACATAATACTGCGTTTTAATTACAAGTTAATACCTGGTAATGCGTGTGGTACGCCTGGTACAGACATCGATGAGTGCGCGGCGGACGGCGCGTGAACACGGCCGACAAATAATTGTTCCGGGTCTGGATCTTTGCCCTTGTGAAATTTATGAATATAAACTGCCTCCACGAAACATGAGAAAATCCTAAAATGGAAATAACGTTTTATAAAAAAATTACTCAAGTTTTTACGTGGTACAACCATGCTGCTATATTATGAATGTAATACGAATGGTACAGCTCGACTGGGGAAGATCACGCTCTCGCAGAATACCAGCACAAAATAGCAGCTTAATGCTGCTGTGTTTCTTATAGTAAGCGTAGAGAACAGGAGCCTATTTTTACTAGGGCGGCAACGCATTTGCATTGTGATTCTTAATCGAGGATAGATGTAGATGTCTACGGGCCATAGCATCCACTTACCATCAGATAAACTGCGTGCTCGTTTGCCACACGTATTCTTTAAAAAAATAATAATAATATAAACTCAATATGTCTAAACCTACTAATATATGTGGTACATCTGGTGTAGATATTAACGAGTGTGAGGAGGACAGCGCGCTTTGCCGCGGCGGGCGCTGCGTGAACACGGCGGGCTCGTTCCACTGCGAGTGCGCGCCCGGCATGGAGCTGGCGCCCGACCGCCTCTCCTGCAAGGACGTCGACGAGTGCTCCATCACCTCCGGTAACTATAATATTATAGCAGTCTAGATGGAATACATTTTACGTGCTAGAGTTACGCTGCAGCTATATTATGGTTGTAGCACGAATGGCTCAGCTCGACCGGGGAAGGACCACGCTTGGAACAATTAAAATTGTAGTACATGCATAAAAATCTTACATATAATATATATATGTAAGATTTTTTATGCATGTGAATAGCAATAACGTTAAGAAAAACTCTAGTGTGGGTAACGTTCTGTTCTCTTTTCAAGCCTAGCTATACAATAGCTAGCTCGACTATGCAGTAGCCTGTATTAAATAGATTCAGTCTCTTACCTCCTTACACAAAGTAAAAAAAGAAATGCTTCACTTTACTCTTTAGTACTACAGATTTTGTGTGTGTGCGTGTGTAATTATGTGTGTGTGTGTGAGAGAGAGAGAGTGTATGCGCGAGTATGCGTTCGTGCTTTTATGCAAGTATGTATGCGTGTGTGTACTCGAGAACGTAATTATACTAATATTATATAAATTAGCTTTTGATAGGAATTTGAAACAATGTCTGTTACTTTCACGTACACCGTTACACCAACATACAATTGTGGTGATTAATGCGACAGGTATCTGCAGCAACGGCGCGTGTGAGAACTTGATGGGAACGTACCAGTGTGTGTGTGACGAGGGCTACGCGCAGTCGACGGTGAAGTCGCACTGCGAGGACATCGACGAGTGCAGCGAAGATCCTACACGCTGCCAGCATTCCTGCGTCAACACGCCCGGCTCCTACCACTGTACCTGCAGGTTTGTGCACGGCACTTATTCGACAGCCTGTAAAGTTAAAATTAGTTTAGTGCTGATCATGAGGCCTCTCTCCTAATAGAGAGGATTTGTTGAAATTGTAACACTCGATAGACGAATTGACAATTGTAATAAGCACTCACGTTCAAGTTCGACGTCAGGTTTGCATGATGCCGCATTAGTTGAAACCATGGCGTCTTATTTGCTCCGACTACCATCATGCATACTTGACCGCTCATACACACGTTCCAGTTTGCATGAGGCTGCAAGCTTGATCAAGTCGGCAGAATCGAAATTCAATTTTTGCTTCAAGTAGACTTGTCATGCACACTGATAGCCATACACCGTCAAGTTTACCGGACGCCGCTTCAAGCGCGTTGCAAACTTGACGGTAAACTGGATCGTGTACGGCATCCATTAGTCGTGTGTGCGTGCGTGTGTGTGACGACGTGAGACGCGTGGTGCGCAGGGAGGGGTGGCAGCTGCGCGCGGACGGGCGCTCGTGCCGCGACGTGGACGAGTGCGCGGCGGGCGCGCGCGTGTGCGGCGGCGGGCTGTGCCGCAACACGCCCGGCTCCTACCGCTGCGACTGCGCCGAGGGCCTGCTGCCCGCGCCGCCCGACGCCAAGCCCACCTGCCTCGACATTGACGAGTGCGCTGACGTTAGTACCTACACTATTTTATATTTATTTTTCCAGCTGGGAGTTTCGGAGCGAACTTAACTCATGGCGAATTACTGCTTTTGTTTAAATAACGGTTTGAAGCAGATGTTGTAGAAGTGGTACGATTTTGTGTATTAAATGTCTGCGCATATGAACTACGAGTATCATTGGAAACGATGAAACTAGTGAACTACAAGGCTCCATGGCACAATGGCTTAGCAATGAGTTGCAGTGCTTGGGGCCGCGGCACATTTATTTTTACAGCCTACAAGTAATTTTTCCGGGTCTGGATGTTTCTCCTTGTGCAATTTATGTTTGTAGACTGCCTCCACAATACAGGAGAAAATCCTTGTGTGCGGGGAAGGTTTTCTTTTTTTAAAAAAAGAAGGGCTCCGATGGTGATGTGAATCTCAAGATAAGATGCTTAGGCTCATTGAGATACTAACGCCATCGACTGTTTGCTGACCCAAACTGCCGCTAAAATCTCCCAATGTGACGCATCAACATATTATTAAGATGAAATCTTGAAACAAATTACTATAAAGGATAATTTTTTAATTTACTTCACACTGGCAAAAGTATAACCGTTCGAGTCCATTACCAAAGAAAAAAATTTCTAACAACGGATATCGTCGTGCAGTAGAAGGCATGGGAGAATCAACTACTCCATATCAAGGAAATTTTTGTTTTAGTGGCGTCGTAAGTAATCTTATACTCCATACCATCCCGTAGGTAAATAAGAGGCGTCAGAGGGATGATAACAACACAAAATAATAAAAACCTGCGGTTGCCAATTCGCCTACCAAACGTGGCAACTCTAGCAGAAACCTCCTTTATGAGGCAATCTATGGGGGAGGCTTATATTCAGTAGTGAACTTATATATGCTGTTATAATAATGCTGATTATGATATTGGCTACACTGGAGCTATATACAGAAAGTGACTATCGTTATCATCATCATGAGCCCACTTTTTTTATAGAATTGGGGTGATAAACGAGCACACAGTCCACCTGATGGTAAGTGGTTGCTGTGACCCATAGACATCTACATATATCCTCAATAAAGAATCAAAATGCAGATGCGTTTTCACCCGTGAGGACGTCTCCGGTTCTCTACACTCACCATACGAAACACAGCAGTGTTTAGCTGCTATGTTACGCTGGTATTCTGTGAGAGCGTGGTCCTTCCCCGGTCGAGAAGACCCATTCGTGCTACAACTATACCAGTAATATTTTTACAGCATGGCTCTACCACTTCTGAACATACATAGGCTACTCCCAATAAACGCAACCAAACACGGTCTTGAGCATTGGTAGCTTAATCTAATACCACCTAAAAGGTTACATATTTATTACTTTGGTATTAGGTATGCTGAGTAGCAGAACTTTCTTTTGCGAGGCATATTATTATTATCTTCACCTTTTTATCGAGTAAGAGAGTTAAGTAAATTGTTTCAAAGTTTCTGCTACTACTAATGAAGAGGCCTTTGAAAAGTAAATAATTTTTATTCTTAGATCCCGGACCTGTGCGGTGCGGGCGAGTGCCGTAATACAATCGGCAGCTTCGTGTGCCGCTGCCCGGACGGCTACAGCGTGAAGCCGGAGCTGGGCCCCGCTTGCTCTGACGACGACGAGTGCGAGCTTGGCACCTGCGACTGTCACCCTGCCGCCGACTGTATCAACCTGCCGGTAATTCTGCACAACTAACTTCATTGATTCTGATCTCTTCTCACATCAACTTCACTCTCTACGCCTCATCTCACATTGGACTACACTAGACCTCACTTTGATTTACCTCGTCTCACCTCACTTCCACTCATTTCGTCTCATCTCATTTTGACTTATCCTCCTCGACTTAGGTCATCATACGTCACTACAGATATGTTCACTTCTCTTCTTTCCTCTTTCTCTCACCTCGCTGTTGACTTTGTGTTATTTACTTGATGTTCGTTTTGTTATTTGAAAATTTGTGCTCCATAACTTTTTTGGATTTTGTATATGAATCAGCTGATAGAAGAATGAAATATTATACAAAGTGTACGTACATTCAAATAACAATACACAATATATTCGTCTACTATTAAATATCATCATAATTATTATCAATATATTTTTATCACCTCCTGTATACGCGACGCAGGAACGACCGGTTTTTGACGCAGCGAAGTGGGCGGTGGCAAGACTCACGTCTTTTAATGCACTATTAGTTAATTACGTATTGCCGATTTACTGCCTGTTGACTGTGCCAATTGCTGTTTAATAGTGATGCGTTTTACATATTTTATAAAGGTGTAGCTTATCTGTCAAATTTTAAGTCGGCAGCTTGTGGTACACGGTAACGTTTTCATTAAGCTTCTGTTGTACCATAATATATTCTCTGTATTATCTGTAGTTTGTTAAATAAATAAATAAAAAAAAATAATAAAAAAACATATTCTTATGTTTGTATTATAAAATTGTATCGTGCCAAGAGGACGTTATTATCATATAAATAATTTAAAAAACGTTTAATGTAGTCATCAATTTCCATACCATTTATTTCTTTTATTTTGTATTCTTTAGCTTTTGCTATTGCCTTACGTTAAATGATTACATAACATTACGTTTGTGTCTCTACCATATTCCTATCATATTCATCTGCAGCCGGATAGTTGAGAGAGAGAGAGAGAGCTATTGAAGTGAAATTGGGTTAATACTTAAATAAAGAACTACCTGACTGTACAATTGTAACTATCACGTATTGCAGTCATGGGGATTTTGATTTTTTTATGAACAATCAATCTACAGATAATTGAGTGTGTTTAAAAAAAATCTTATGAAATAACCAGGGATCATTCCAATGCCGATGTCGCGATGGATGGCGTGGCGATGGAACAGAATGTGAAGACGTAGACGAATGTCTCACCAACAACGGTGGATGTCATCCGCGAGCGACCTGCCGCAATAGTGACGGATCATTTATGTGTCTCTGTGATACGGGATATAAGGGAGATGGGTAAGTCACTTCAACTAACGAAATTGTAAATTAATTTAGTGTTGATATACAGGGTTATTTTGAAAAGAGTAGACAAATTTTAAACTTAAATTTTAATATATAAATAACTAGCTAGCCAGGCAGACGTTGTTCTGCCCTTTTTGACTACCCTTCTTATAAAAATCCTTAAATTCGTAATAAAAAATTTTGAGGGTCATTTAGCAGGATAAAAGCTATCCTATCTATCAAGTTGGAGCAAACTGCACAGAGTGTGCAAAATTTCATTGAAATCAGTTCAGTAGTTTAGGAGTTCATCGCGGACCAACAATGTGACACGTAATTTTTATATATAAAGATGATATAGGTACCATTATTGCAGTTTTTGAAAATATGACTAGACTAGAATAAAGCTTCAACTTTTATTTGAAATAATCCAAAATTGAATATTTATGGGCAACAACGTTTTTGCCTACCGGTGGACCCTTACGAATGTGTGAAATCAGGTAAAATAATGCATTAAAACGCATTTTGAATTTAAAACATAAAAATGACAGATTTGAGATTTTTTTTCATTAATTTTTCTTCACCATTTGCTCATATTATTTATTCTGAACCTTCTCTGCAAATTTGGCCAGTTATTGCAAAATAACCATGTATAGTAATTTATTCAAGTAAATTACATGTAATGATTTCTTAGTTTTATGCGAATACTACACTGTTATTTTTTTTAAACATACCTCACATACCCCACATACCTGTAACGTCAGATATTAAAAAGTTAAAAAACGCCGACAATATCCGTAAAATTAGTTTGTATTCAATAAAATACATGATTCTCTGTGAGTTACGGCTTTTTATATTCCTTTTATCACATAATTCAGTTACTCTACACATCGGATTGACCGGGAAAGGAACACACTCTCATAGTAAACCAGCGTACAATGCTGCCATGTTTCGTGTTAAGTGTAGAGAACGTGATTTCTTGACATTGTAGAGCCATGCTGAAGCTATATTAATTGTATATTTGTAGCACGAATGGGTCAACTCGCCCGAGGAAGTGCTACGCTCTCACAGAATACCAGCGAAAATTGCAGCTTAATGCTGCTGTGTTTCGTATGGTATAAAACCGGACTCAGGGGGACTGTGAGCTCGTTTTTCAACCATATCCTATAAAAGAAAAACCAGAGACTTATTGGAAATGAGGCATTCCACACCATCTTAGTCCTCAGTTGTGGCAAACTGGCAACGCAACTGCATTTAGATTCTTAATCGAAGATAGATGTAAAAGTATATGAGCCACGGCATCCACTTATCATCAGGTGGATTATGTGTTCGGTCATTCTATAAAATAAAACACAAAATGTAACATTATCTTTTTAAATCCCCTTGATATAATGTGTACCTTGATTATATAACTTACAGTGGACCAGGTTTACAAAGTTTTAAAAAGACTTGACATTAGGAAAGGAGCTGGAGCAGGATAGCATTCCATCGATATTTGTCCGTAATTGCACTAGTGCACTGGCTTTGTCAATTGCACTGATTATTGTCAATGGATCACTTAGGACACTAGTACATATCGAAAGTCCGTAATTGCACTAGTGCACTGGCTTTGTCAATTGCACTGATTATTGTCAACGGATCACTTAGGACACTAGTACATATGGAAAGAACTACCAACCAACCTTACGGAAAAAAGTCCTTGTGTTGCCTTTGTTCAAAACCCAAGGTAGAGAGGAAGGTAAAAATTATAGACGTATTTCCATCATTTCCGTTTTTACAAGTGTTTGTGCTGCTTATATGTTTTATTATTTCATGGCTTTTTTAAACATTTGTTACATTTTTTATTTATTCTTTATTGCATTCCTTTTAACAAAAGTATACAAAGAACTTTGAGGTATTCTCTACCAGTCAACCCATGGATGGTGAGAATTTGACGTAGGTGTAGCAATATAGGATAAAAACAAATATTATAATTGACTACGTAATATATACATTTTACTAATAAATGAACTATGCAAATATAACCTACACATACATAAATATATACATACATACATTTACTCATATTTACATACATAAATAATTAGTATATACAAATAACTATGGATATATACACTGACCGCCTTCAGTTGTTAGGGATTGAAATTTCTCCGAACATAAACTATGGGCGGTTCATTGAGTCCAGAGCCAAAGCAGCCGCAAGAAAACTTGGTGTCTTGCAAGGGTGCGGCGGTACTTCACACCGGGGCAGCTTCTTACCTTATATAAAGCGCAAATCCGGTCGTGCATTGAGTACTGCTGTCACATATGGGCTGATGCTGCAATATGCCACCTGGCAGCATTGGACTCAGTGGAGAGACGTGCTAAGAGACTCATTGTTGATCTTGATTTGCTTGAAACCAATCTTGTCAGCCTCGAGCACAGGCGCAGAGTAGCCAGTCTCTTGGTATTCTATAGGATGCATCTCGGTGAGTGTGGATGCATTTCGCTTTAATTCCTCCCTCGCCTTTCCACCATCGGACAACCAGACGCTCGGTGGGTCTTCATCCATTTGTTGTCGATATTCCACGGATTAGAACCAAACGGTTTGCATCGTCTTTTGTAATGCGTACAGCAAAGGAGTGGAATAATTTGCAGGCGTCTATCTTTCCGTCCGAATACAATCTGGGCGTCTTCAAGGCAAGAGTGAATAGGCTTTTATTTAGATAAGATAGTGCGATTTACCATCTAAGGCTGCATCACCACTTACCACCAGGTGGGATTGTGGTCAAGCACTGGCTTATAATAAGTAAAAAAATATGTGACATAGATGAATCATGCAAGAAGCGTTTTCTTTAATAGATGATTACGAACCAACTTTTTAAAAGCATACTTATTGGGTGCTTTTGATGTAATTGGGCAAGGAGATACAAAGATGTGTTGCCTGAAGGAGTTACCACAGAATTCGGTGTAGTGAACAAGAAGGAATACAGATTTTGTTGTTACAAAAGAATGTAGAACCCTGTCATGAGAAGAAGAGAGGTAGTGAAATTTACTCTTAAGATAAGAAGGCAACGAGTCATTTAATATGGAAAAAAGAACAAAAATATCCTGGAATTGCGCTTCTGACGGATTGTAAGCCAATTAAGCTTAGATCAATATAGGGAAATATGGTCGTACTTACGAAGCCCGAAAATAAATCTTATACAGTTATTGAGAACGCGTTCCAGTTTTTTCAGAAGATCTTGGGACAGATCCGAGTAACACACATCTGCGTAATTAATTATGGGTAATATGAGCGACTGGACAAGCATGACATTAGATTTTATGGGAAGAAAATATTTGAAACGATACAGAGAAAATAACATGGCAATAACTTTACGACTCACTTCTGAAATTTGAGTTCTCCGATGCAGCGTGCTCGCCATGTATCCCATGATTTTAGATATGTAGGCCAAGATTTATTTTTTCAGAATTACTGAATGAATTGTTACTGAAAAACTGAAATTATAATACCATTCTAATAAATAGGAAGTAATTCTGCAATATTAGTCTTAGCTAGCATCCTTGACCTAACCACCAGTATAGCTTGACATTTCCAAGGATTGACCAAAACTCCATAACGAATGGACCAATTTTTGATAGCTGGTAATTTGTACATCTGAATAGCGTGGGTTTGTGAAAGCTCGATCAACAGACCCTGTTTCCTTTGAGAAGGACATTACCCAGGCTCTTGATACTGTCAAATCCGTTGATGCAATCCATACAAATTTCAGTAAGGCCTTTGACAGAAAGACCAGGTCGTTCACTCTATTTTACATATCAGACTCAAAGGATAAGTATAAAGGATAGGTATAGCAGGCCCGTTGCTGCACAGGTTTAAGTCGTATCTTGCCAATCGTTTGTCGACTGTCGTTGTCGATGGTTATATTTCTGAGCCGTTTTTTGCCTATACTGTTTTACCTCAAGGGTCTCACCTAGGTCCTTTTTTGTTTAAAATTTTTATTAACGACGTCAGTAATTGATTTAGGAATTCTAAGTTTTATCTGTTCACTGACGATCTAAAGATCTTTAGACCTGACTCCTCAAATTCTGTTGTAGAATTCTTACAGGAAGACTGTGATAGTTTGACATTTTGTTTTCGTAACAACGGTATGATATTAAATACTGAATAGTGTCGTATTATAAAATTTTCTAGAAAGAAAACATCTCTTGCAAAAACATTACATTGATGGTCGTTTTCTGTCTGAAGTTCCTCACATACGCGATTTAGGAGTTACGCTTGACAATAAGCTCCGTTAAAATATCCACAGAGATAATATTATCAACAAAAGTTTCATGACCTTGGTTTACTCTTCAGTAACTGTAAACAGTTCAAGGATATTCGCTCTAAAAAATATTTACTTAGCTTTGGTACGAAATATCTTGGAATACTGAAGCGTTGTATGGAATCTTCACTTTAATATCTATTCACATAGAATTGAAAGGATACAAAAAAGTTTCTTTTGCATCTATCTTAGATCATAACCTAGTTAAAACTCTTAGAATTTACGAAGATAAGCTAAATTAATTTAAGCTTCAGTCACTTTCGAATCGAAAACAACTCCTTGACCTGATATTCTTGTATAAGTTGGTGAATGGCGTCATTGATAATTCCTATTTACTAGCCCAATTAAATATTCGTGGCCCTTTGAAGGCAATAAGGCTGTTGTCTTTTATATCATTCGTAGAAAAGAGCACAAGTTCACGTCAAGCGCACTATTCTTCGATTAATAGATTAATGTCGAGTTATAATGCTTTAAATAAATTTACACATAAGCATTATATTGGTGCCATAACGACTACTGATAGTAAACATACATATAGAAAATTTGATATTGATATTTTTTTCAGATAATCTTTCGAAATTTAAATGTGTTTTGTTTATATTCCTCAAATAATTGTAATTCATAGGAAATAAGTATTTTTTTCTTACTAGTAATATAAAAGCTAAAGAACATCGGCCACGGTCCATACATGGTGTGACCTGGCTATAAAATATCGCGAACATGACTAGTGTATGGATTAATCCGTTCCCCCTGGGCACAATCTAAATCTTAAATTGAAAATATATTATAATAAAAGCCGAGGATCATAGAACGTTTCACTTATGTATTTCGTCACTTTTGAGGTTATGATGTAGCCATGACTGCAGCTATAACATAGATACACTCATAATACGTGTCGTTCTAAGTATTAGTGCATTCTATATTTACTGACAACCTATTATTTGCAACTTATTTCGGAACAGTTTCCATATCTAAAAATGATATTATTGATGAATAAAATCTAGTATTTAAAAAAAGTAAACGCATAATGGTAGTGTTACTTTAGTGTTATGATGAAAAGTGTACCACAGATAACGGCAAAAAGGGACGGGACGGAAATTTTAGATGCGTTCAAAACCTATAAAAAGTAGTAAGGAAATGAGGTTTTTCATTAGAAAGCTAAATTATTTTACCGGCTCCAATAAAATAAGTTGGATCTCATTATTTCATATACAGATCAGTGGTAGAGCCACGCGGCAGCTTTTGCTGTCGCACGGATGGGCCGGCTCGAACCGAGGTGGTACCACGACCTCACAGAATACCAGCGTGAAGTAGAGGTTTACCTCTGCGTTTCGCTTGGTGAGTGCAGGTGGCTGGAGGCCCTTTTTACTGGAAATGAGGCATTCCATCTTAGTCCTCACGGGTGACAACGCATCTACATTTTGATTTGTAACAGAGGATAGATGTAGATGTCTATGGGCCGCAGTAACCACTTACCATCAGGTGGACTATGTGCTCGTTTGTCACCCTTATTCTTTAAAAAAAACACCTATGTCACTATTTTTTGACGTATCAATCATTGATTGTCGTTTCATATTTTGATCAGGTTGTATCTGGCCGATGTTCTTTTGATTATTTAATTAATTTATAATTTATTATAATATAATAATATAATTATTGTGCTATTAAATGTGATATTATGCTTTACAAACTGTCAGACTTGTACGAATATTAAATGAATTATACATAAATCATATAATTATAACTATATTATTATTCCAATAAAATAACGCTACATACTATTTCTTGGTTGATTTTACTTAAAATAATAATACAATATTATAGCATTAGCGTTTACTAAGTAATTTATTATTTTTTGTTTACGTCAGTACTGCGTTAATAGGAATTTACCAAATCAAACGCGAAAACATGTTGTTGTTTTGATGTGTAACGATACTATTCTGGTGGAGAGCTTATTAAGCTTTTAAATTTCAATACAATGAAAGTGTTCGTTTAAATAAAGCTATAAAAATTCTGAAAAAAATTACCAATATATATCCAACCTTTAGATTACGAATCTGAAATAAAATTGAAAAATCCAAAATAGCACTTTACCAGTTTATTGCTTATGGGCGTTAATTATAATTACTTATGAAAATCACGATAGGAAATTATGCATGATTTAAATTATTCTATAATATTAAATTCTGAATTATTTTACTTAAATTTATTGATCTATTTATTTTTGTATACAATTTAATTCACTACGTACGTATTTTTATGTCTATCTTTTATGAAATGTGTGTAACACCTGTAATAACGTCAACACTTAAAATTAATGAAGCTTATGTTAGTGAATGTCTTGTTGGAGTTAAATAAATAAATAAAAAGTTATCTATTTAATTTACATTACATCTCGTTACCTTAAGCACTTTGTATATTCCTTGTTATGAATATCTAAACCTTACCTATTTAGAACATAGTAATATGTAGTACAGGAGAGTTGTGGATATACGAGGCTTTATGATGAAATGATCAGGTACTCGTGCGTGGACATCGACGAGTGCTCGAACGACCCGACGCTGTGCGAGAACGGCCACTGCAGCAACACGCCCGGCGGTTATGAGTGTGATTGCGACGTCGGCTTCACCAAGTCCGCCGACGGACGCTCTTGCTTAGGTAACCTCATTTTGTGCCATTACAACATCGGGAAGATAAAATATTCACATAAAAATATTATTAACGGTGCAACGAGCGAGTTTATTTGATTACACTAGAAGTGTGGTTAAATTTCTGAATAGAATATCAACGAAAATAGCAGCGTAATGCTGTTGTGTTTCGTATGGTGAATGTAGAGAACTGTAGATCCTTTTTACTGGAAACGAAGCAATCTATCTTTCTCAGTGCTGACAACGCATACATATATTAATTCTTAATCGAGGATAAATATAGATGTCTATGCTATGGAATGCTAACGTAAATATCAAATCAATATCGAAAAAAAATTAGGTATATGCTAATGTAAATGTGGATGCTATGGATCCACTTATTCTATAAAAAATGTGTATCATAATATTCACAATAACACTCATTTACCATAAAGAGCACTGTGTGCTCGTTTGTCACCTTTAATGTATATAAAAAAAACCTTCGTCAGTAAAAATAAATCGAGATATTAATGTTGCTCGTATACATTAACAGACATGGACGAGTGCGCGACGTTTGACAATGTGTGCGTGTTCGGGCGCTGCGTCAACACGTACGGCATGTTCAAGTGCATCTGCGACAAGGGATACCAGTCCGACAGCGTCGACGATCGTACGTATATTTATATTTATGAAACTTTACATATAATTATGTGGTGTGTACTTAATAATAGTGATATTCGAGTATTCAATTATTATTTTTCTAGCCGAAATATAGAGACTGATAAAATTTTCCTTTGTTCTCAGACAAAAAACATACGTGAGTGTCGTGGAACACTCGGTTGGAACGATGTTCCTTTCGTAGTATATTATTACTGATCATCATCATCATCATTACAGCCCTTCACAAGTCCACTGCTGAACATAGGCCTCCCCCAAAGAATGCCACAAAGCACGGTCCTGAGCCACCTGCATCCATCGACTTCCTGCATATCTTACCAGGTCGTCACTCCATCTAGTGGGGGGACGCCCTACACTTCGCCTGCCGGTACGAGGCTGCCACTCGAGAACCTTTCTTCCCCATCGGTTGTCGGTTCTTCGAGCTATATGGCCGGCCCATTGCCACTTCAGCTTACTAATCCGTTGGGCTATGTCGGTCACTCTAGTTCTACTGCGGATATCCTCATTTCTGAGTTTATCACGCAGAGAAACTCCGAGCATAGCCCTCTCCATAGCTCGCTGAGCGACCTTGAGCTTCCTCATCCGGCCAGCAGTGAAGGACCACGTCTCAGTTCCGTATGTCATCACTGGCAACACGCACTGGGTGTACAGTCTCGTTTTCAAGTTTTGAGGCATACCTGACGAGAAGATGTGCCGTAATTTCCCGAACGCTGCCCAACCGAGTTGAATCCGTCGATTGACCTCTCGGTCGAAGTTGGACTTACCTAGTCGGACTATTTGTCCCAGGTAAACATACTCGTCAACAACTTCGAGCTTAGTGTTCCCAACAACTACCGGCATAGGTGTGACATGGACATTAAACATGATCTTTGTTTTGTCCATGTTCATCTTAAGACCTATCCGTTGGGAAACACTATTGAGGTCATTGAGCATAGTGCTAAGGTCCTCCAGCGATTCTGCCATAAGGACTATATCGTCGGCAAATCGAAGGTGAGTGATGTACTCGCCATTGATGTTGATACCGTATCCTTTCCAGTCCAGAAGCTTGAAAACATCTTCCAATGCAGCGGTAAAGAGTTTCGGGGATATGACGTCACCCTGTCTTACACCTCTCTGCAATTGGATAGGTTTCGTACTCTGGTTCTGTACTCGGATAGCCATCGTAGCCCTACTGTACAAGCACTTCAGCACTTCGATATACCGACAGTCAACTTGGCATCGCTGAAGGGACTGCAGCACCGCCCAAATTTCGACGGAATCAAAGGCTTTCTCATAGTCCACATACGCCAGACATAGTGGCAAATTGTACTCCTCGGACTTCTGTACAATTTGCCGAAGGGTATGTATGTGGTCTATGGTGCTAAAGCCTTTTCGGAAACCGGCTTGTTCGGGAGGCTGGAAGTCGTCAAATCTGCGCGCGAGACGATTCGTAATGACTCTCGAAAACAGCACGTAGACGCGGCTCAGAAGGGAAATCGGTCTGTAGTTCTTCAAGAGAGCGTTGTCGCCTTTCTTGAAGAACAAGACCACCGCACTTCTGCTCCACGCCTCCGGTGTAATGCCACCATGGAGGACGGAATTAAAGAGTTTCTGAAGGACTTCAAGTACCGGTTTTCCACCCGCTTTCAGAAGCTCCGCTGTAATTCCATCCTCGCCTGGGGCCTTGCCGTTTTTAAGGTGCTGGAGAGCCATTCTAATCTCGCTCAGACTGACGTCCGGGATATCATCGGAATAATGTCGGATAAGACTCGCTCTTGGATCGTTACTCACACTTGCGTGCGGCTCCAACGATGACGTGTACAGCTGCCCATAGAACCTCTCAATCTCACTCAAAATCTCAGGTGCCCCGGAAACGATGCTGCCACACTCTGTCTTCAGCTTTGACAGTTGGCGCTTTCTGGCAGACAGATCTCTGGCAAAGACTTTGGAGCCTTGGTTCCGCTCGATCGCTTCTTCAATACGAGCTGTATTGAATTTGCGTAAGTCCCGCCGCATGCATTTGGAGATCTGTCTGTTCAGTTGCCTGTATGCTGTTAAATCTGTTGAAGAATGTAGCTTCATCTCCCGTCTAACAACCATGAGATTAAGAGTGTGATCGGAGAGTTTTTGTGTTCTTCTGCGGCGGGTCTTGCAGAACTTAGCTCCGACCGCATGGACAGTTTCCACGAGCTTGTCATTCAAATCGTCCACTTCATTGCAGTCTTCTAGGCACTGAAAACGGTTTTGTAACTCGAGCTGAAAGGTTTCGGGACTTTGGATTAGAGCACGAGGGGGACGGAGCGTTGACTTCATTAGACGAGACCTCTCCAACTTAACGTTTAGGTTCAGTGTGCCTCTAACCATTCGGTGATCGCTACCGGTTTTCACCCTCGCGATCACTGAGACATCACTGAACAGTTGTCGTCTGGTCGTCATAATGAAGTCAATCTCATTTTTTGTCGAACCGTCGGGGCTCGACCAGGTCCACTTCCTGTGGGGCCGCTTCTGGAAGAAAGAGTTCATCATAAAGAGTCCCTCTTTCTCCATGAAGTCAGCCAACTGCTGGCCCCTTGGGTTCCGTTGCCCTATTCCAAATTTCCCTACTTTCAGCTCACCGTTCTCTCTTGTTACAAGTTACGCTGGCATATTATAGGATTATCCGAAGTCCGAAGAGAGGGGGAGGACACGGTAATCCTCGAATCCGGCAACTTGCTCTATTACCGGGAGGGCGACCATCTGTCCCAAGGAGGTGTCGGATTTATCGTCCACAAGTCTCTCGTTAACAACGTTGTAAAGATTGAGAGTGTGTCGACGAGGGTTGCGTACCTTATACTCAGAATCACCAAACGGTATTCGCTGAAGGTCATACAGGTTTACGCACCAACCTCGGCACACCCCGATCAGGAGGTGGAGGAAATGTATGAGGATATCTCTAGAGCCATACATTCCTCCAAAACCCAATATATGGTGTTAATGGGAGACTTCAATGCAAAACTAGGCACAAGAGAGAACGGTGAGCTGAAAGTAGGGAAATTATTACTGATAAACGTATTATATTATTGATTATCAAATACAAATAAATGAGTTACTAGCGTCTATTATATGAAAATGAAGCGTCATTTAAATAATATTTCATTCATAAAAATAATATTTACTTCATGGCAAGATAAGAAAAAGTGTGAGGGAGATGGATATTATTTCATCTCGCTTCCTTATTTCGCCGCCAAGGCCGTCTGTCTACACTACGTCAGAAGGTGTCGTGACGGAAAAATCTTACACTTTTTGACGCCTAGCTGCCTTCCGTCAAATCCGTACTATCCGATAAAGAACTTCGTTCCAATAATTCTGTGATACTAATATTCATATATACACACACACACACACACACACACATATATGTTAGAGCTATTTAGCTTTAGTTTAGACAAATGGATCTTTGATTTACTTTTTTATACTCTGTATGTTTTAAAGAGTCAATTTTAATTGCACGTGAATTTATAACAGAGATTTTCACTTCTTTGATTTCGCAATAGTTTAACCAAGGTCAAAATTTTTTTAAGTACTCTTTGTGTCATTAATAGTTTCTTCGATGATCTTTCTCTAACTGAGTTCGTAACTTTACTAGAACATGTTATTCTTGCGTTAGGTGAACTAATAAAATAATTAAAACCAAAACGTCAATGACATAAAATATACAATGTTAATATGCGGTCGTTATGCTACGGTAGTAGTCGACGATATGATAGGGGAGGGGGCGTTGGCGCCTTTGGCTTCCAGTATGGCAGCAACACATGATAAGCCGGGTTGCAAAATTGTATTTAAATTGAACTTTATGAAAAAGTATCTTTATGGCTTGTTGTAATCTTTCACAGTGATGCCGGGCTTCAACTGCACGGACGTGGACGAATGCAAATCGCCGCAGTCGTGTCAGTACGGCACGTGCGTCAACACACAGGGCTCGTACATATGCCGCTGCCCGCCTAACTACGAACTCGTCTCTGACGGCACCGCATGCTATGGTAATTTGATTTTGTATTACAGTTTTTAAACTTAATAACGTGCATTAGTTTAATGTTTAAGAAGAGGAAACACCAGTCCGGCCTTAGGTAATACTGTTACTATTAATGGAATTAATTGAATCAATTTTTATAACTATATTTCTCAAGGATATATCATTTTTTATTAACACAAGTTTTATAACTTATCAAAGTTGATATAATGTTGTTTCTTCGCGTTTTCAGATTCAAGAAAAGCGCGCTGTTATGGCAAAGTGGACTTAAGGTCTGGGACAGAGCACTGTCGCGACAGCGATGAGTTGTCCGAGGACGGAACTATGGCGGCCTGCTGTTGCTCTGTTGGTAAGAGGACAATTGTTATGTTACTATAATTATTATAATATACTATCGTAATCGATTTTTAAAAGGTTTCTACAACAAAGTCATTCATACGACGATTGTTCGTTAAGACAAATCATTTGATCGAATTTATTTTGTCAGGTGCTGCTTGGGGTAACTATTGTGATCTGTGCCCGGAACCGGGGTCTGAAGCGTATAGACAACTTTGTCCCGGAGGTCCTGGATATCAACCAGTTCTTGAGCCTGTGAGTGTTTTTCTTTTGCTATAGAAAGATTAAAACGCTTAAAGTTCTTATGGTACTTTTAATCTAATGAATAGCTTTACTTATATAATTCGCTGAGCATATAGATAGTGTGCTATTTACAGAATTAATAAAATAATTATATTGTTAATGGTAAATTGAATGCGCAGAACTATTAAATAAAAAGTTTGTGGAGAACCATACTGAAGCCACTACTATCCCCATTACGCGTAAAAGTATTGCGTAAGGAGAACGGCTTTATGTATTTGTATATATGTAGAAAACCGCAGATTTTTTTACTTTTTAGTTGTTGTTAGGAAGACACTGCTGCTCATCTCCTAGTTTCTTTCCTTTTGTCGATTCTTACGACATCTACGGTATAACGTGGGGTGGTGGAAATGGGCGCCGGCAGCAGGGTGCAATGGCGTGCACTGAATGAAAATACATAGAAAAACTGAGGGCGTCTAGGATGCTGTCCAAATTTGTTCATCACCTTGTTAATAAATTCAGTATCCTCTTCTACTTTTTCTCTGTGAACACTGAGCAAGTCGCGCGGCATCGGAGGTTCTTCGAGCAATAATGTCAACTATCGACTACAGAGATTAAGTACGTTTTCAATGAGCGAAATATATTAAATGAAATTCCCGCGCGATTTGAATTTGACATTACATATATCTTACATAATATACATGTTTTATATTTTATATTAGTTAATAGGTTAATAGTATAATGTGTAGATGCAGATGAACCTCCCTGAAAGAAATTCTGGCGGCGCCCATGGTGGTGGACATGGTGGTACACTGCTACTAGACAGTTAATTTTAACATTTTGATTAACTATTGCTCAGTATTGCTTATGCTCCATATGAGGCAATATGTGGGGAGGTCTATGATCAGCATGGACTGTACTATGTTCTAATGAAAAAAAATCGTGGTTTGACTGTTTAGTGGACATGGCCGTGTATTTTACGTGAATACGTGCAGCAAAACGACCTCAAAATGGCGGCGCTTACTCCTCGCCGCACACATCCATAGTCCATATGCAACGTAGTCCTCACTGAACGTAATAAATGCTTTGATTTTTAAGCTATTTATGTCATAATATTTTGGATATAGATGATAGTTATTTTTTTTCAACGTAAAACTTTATCCTTGGATTTTGTTATCATCAGTTTGCTCATAGGGAGGATAGTTGTCACGTTTGGCAAGTGGGTTTTTTATTTTTAGTTGTTATTAGGAAGACATTGCTGTCCATATCCTGATTTGTTTGCCTCTGTCGCCTCTTACGTCACCCATGGGATGATATGGGGTAAGGGATATCCTTACAACCCCACTACACATTAAAGGTACACTATAAAGGTAAGTTTAAAGACCTAATCCCGTCAAAGTGGATAGTTGGACGTCGTGGATTATAAGATGGTGATGTAGTAAGGTGTGGTGTGCTCACAGCCGTCGTACGTGGTGACGCTGGCGGACATCGACGAGTGCGCGCAGCACCCGGCGCTGTGCGAGCACGGCACGTGCACGAACACGTTCGGCTCGTTCGTGTGCGCGTGCGGCGCGGGCTGGCGGCTGGCGGACGGGCCGCGCTGCGAGGACGAGGACGAGTGCGCGCGCGCCGGCGTGTGCGCGCCCGGCCTGTGCCGCAACCTGCCCGGCTCCTACGTGTGCCTGTGCCCCGAGGGCTACGTCGCGATGCCCAACGGAAGTAAGTGCACTATACAACTATTACTTTTCACTTACATTTACATTTGTACAGACGAAGTGGATAGTAGTTTAGAATTTTGTTTGTTTTGGTTTACAAATGTGTAGCAAGATACCCAACATAGCCCAACGGATAAGTAAGCTGATGTGACAATGGGCCGGCCTTATATCTCGAAGAATCGACAACCGACGGGAAAGAAAGATTCCTGAGTAGTAAACCTCGTATCGTACCTATGAGCGAAGCGTAGGGCGGTCCGTTACTAGATGGAGTGATGACCTGGTAAAAGATATGCAGGATCTCAATGTATACAGGTCCGTGCTCTGTGGCGTTCCTTGGCGGAGGCTTATATTCAGCAGTAGACTAATAAAAGGCTGTAATGATGATATGATCATGATGATAAATATGTTAAAGGAAAAAAAAATTATATCTTACCTAATTTATATTTAATTTTCTTTTCTATTTGAAGTGACTTGGAGCTAATTTTATTCTTCTCTTACTTAATTATTTACATAATTATTGTATTATTAAATATATTATCTTCCATTATCCGTTCTCTTATATTCTCATCTAAATTTGCAGAGGAATGTGTTGACGTTCGTCAACGTCAGTGCTACATGGACTGGGATCCGGACACTGGGGGATGTTCCGCTGCGGTGGGAGTTCCACAGACCAAATACCTTTGTTGTTGCTCCGTCGGCAAGGCCTGGGGAGCGCCTTGTGAAGCCTGTCCCGATAAAGGCTCGCAGGTGATTGAAACTATTTTATTACTAATTCTAGCGATCCGCCCGGGCTTCGCACAGGGGATTTATGAATCTCGACAACAGCGCTACCTACCTGATCCAAATGTGAAATCTAAACCATTTAGGGACCCCTTTAAACACACACAAAAATTTCATCTACATCGATCGAGCTGTTTTTGAGTTTTAGGAAGACTAACAGCGAGCAATTTAATTTTATGTATAGAGATTGAACAATAAAATCAAATCGGGACAAAATTTGCGATACCATTCATACCATTTGGCGGTTCAGCACTGTGCGATTTATTGCTCTTAAACGGCAATAAGACAAAATGTATTAAATTTACAATACCTAATGTAAAACATTCGAATACCAATGTGCTGTTAAATGGGGAGTTGAGTCTTGTGGATACCACTGTTTTTCTCGGTATTACTATTGACGCGAAACTTCAATGGGGCCCCCATGTATCTAAATTAGCAAGCAGACTTAGTTCTGCAGCATATGCTGTAAGAAAGATTAGAAGTCTCACAGATATTGAGACAGCTAGGTTTGTGTATTTTAGTTACTTTCATAGTGTAATGTCTTATGGAATTTTGCTATGGGGTAATGCGACTGATATTGAAGCTATATTTGTTTTGCAAGAGAGAGCCGTACGGGCGATTTATAATCTAAATTGTAAAGAGTCCCTTAGAGAAAAATTTAAAGAAATAAACATATTAACTTTGGCATCGCAATATATTTATGAAAATGTAATGTATGTACATAAAAACATAAATAGCTTTAATAAGAATAAGGATGTTCATACCTTAAACACTAGGAACAAACATAAGCTTGTAATGCCACTTACAAGACACCACAGAGTTAGTAATTCATTTATGGGGCAATGTATACGCTTTTAGAACAGAATCCCAGAACATGTTCAAAGTTTGTCAATAAACAAGTTTAAAAGTTTTATTAAAGAAAAACTGTACAAAAAGGGTTATTATAATATCAAGGAATACATGAATGAAAATAACTCCTGGGAATAAGGTGATCGCCACCATGCTGGTTCTATGAAAATTCTTTTAAAATTGTATAAACAAAATAATTGTTAAGTGAAATTATGTTTAAAAAAAAAGTCCCGCTGGGTTTCTTGCTGGTTCTTCCCAGGACAGAGGTATTTTCCGAACCAGTGGTAAATAAAATAATGACTTTCAATAAGTATTATGTAATAATCCATATTGAATAAAAATCATTCTATTCTATTCTATTAGATGTTTTCTTCCTCGCACAACTTCCTTGTAGAATCAACTACCACCAGCGATTTTTCCGGACCGATACGACGTAGGGGTCTTCAAGAAAAGAGAAAAACAAAACAATAATAAAGAAACATAAAAATAATAAAAAAGACTATAACAGACCCAGAAAATGTATTTTTATCCACCTAGGATATTCAATAAATATTTTGAATTTTAATTAGAAATTGGATGCACGATCAAAGTCTTTGCCTTATATTTAAACTTAACTATTTATATTTTTTTTAAATATATACATTTATATTATAAATTATGTAGAAAAAATCCTATTCGTGTAATGCTAACATTCACTATATATTTTTTACTCGATATACTAGGCATATTATGTCAATCGTGAACGATTCAGTCAAACGACTGAATCGTTCACGATTGACATAATATGCCTAGTTCTCAGGTGGTGAAATTAATCTACAGCGACCGATTAATATCAGGTAGACTCATTTGTTATACAAAGAATTAAAGACAAACTCTTCAATAAACGTTTCTTTTGTGATCTAGGAGCACATGGCGCTGTGCGGCGAGAAGCCTGGTGAATACATCAATCCGATGACAAACGAGACGAAGCCGATCAACGAATGCGACATCATGCCGCAGCTCTGCAAGCCCGGCTCCTGTCACGACACGCCCACTGGCTTCCAGTGCGGCTGCGACCACGGGTAACTTTCTACCTCTTCATACTTCATTGTTTAAGCTGTTTTATATCATTACTGGCGATCACCCGTGGCTTCGTTCGTAGAAGTGGAAATTACGGAATTTTTTTTTTATAGTTCATTCCTAAGGAACAAATTTTTTTCGGTATGTGTCATGCACCGAATTGTGTGCTATTACTAGACACAGTCTACTCGTGTACCCGTAGACTTATTATTACAGCGTATGAATATACGAAGATAGAAAAAAAACAGAGGCAGTCATAAGGATTAATGAATGAATGTAATGAAAACTCAATGATATGTGTATACAATTTTATAGATGTTTTTATACTTTTTTTATACATGTACACAGGCCGACATACTCATGCATGTCAAGGTCATCGGTGACACGAACCCATAAGTTTTTCCCCTACCAAAAATCGCACAACGCGGCTAAATAAGTATTTACTCCAAAATAACATGTGTGCAGTTCATATGCAGGGGAAGAACCCTTAAGAAAAGCAGACCGAAATAATAGGAAACATATTATTCTGTATCTCATACTGTATTATTCACTCGCAAGCTAAATCATATAGATGTATAGGTTTGTTTCTTTTTATTGTCGTTTTTCCGTTTCAGCGAGTTTCAAAATCACAACGATTTTAAAGATGTTTTCACTTAAAAAATATAAAATATCAATGAAACAATATACAGCTGCTTTGTGACACTACCACATAAATTAACCTTGCTAGAGTTTTATGGAACGACGTTCCTTATCGCACGGTACGAATTTGACGAATGGCGGTTAGGCGTAAAATAGTGTAAAATTTTTCCGTCACGACCCCTATTCTATAGTGCGAGCGAGATGGAATAATATCCATATCCCTCGTACTTTTTCTTATCTTGCCATGAAAGAAATATTACTTTAAATGACGCTTCATTTTAATACATACATACATACATACTTATAATCACGCCTCCTTTCCGTAGGGGTTAGCCACTTCTTTCCACTTGCTACGATCCTTACATACTTGTTTCGCTTCGTCCACTTTCATTATTCCCTTCATATATGCTCTTCGGTTACTCGGTTGGGTACTCTTAACCTGGCCTTTTTTCAAGACGTCCCTGATTTGGTCTAGAAACGTCCACCTAGGTCTACTCCTTCCAACACTTTCATTCGCACTCGCCTTATACACGTTTTTCGTCAATCGTTCTTCATTCATTCTCTCGACATGGCCAAACCATCTCAGCATTCCTTTCTCGATTTTTGTCACCACATCTTTTTTCAGACCATAACGTTTCCTTATCTGACTATTTCTTATCCTGTCACTGAGTTTAACTCCTATCATACTTCGCAACACTGTCATCTCAACTGCATTTATTCTGCTTTCATGTTTCTTCTGCCATACCCAACTTTCGCTTCCGTACACGAGACGCTATTAATACATTTGTTTTTGACAATTGAGAATATAATACGTTTATCTATAATAATATATTACGAAAGGAACTTCGTTCCAACCGAGTGTTCCACGATATTCACGCATGTTTTTAGTTATTTTTATTGAACGTAATGCGCACGTGTAGTTACGAGCACGACAACACGTCGCACCTGTGCCGCGACGTGGACGAGTGCGCGGGCGGCGGCGGCGTGCGGGCGCCGTGCCGCGGGCTGGCGCAGTGCGCCAACCTGCCCGGCGCGTACGAGTGCCGCTGCCCGCCCGGCTACCGGCTCGGCGCCACGCTCGACGAGTGCGAGGACGTCGACGAGTGCGCCGACGAGACCCTTTGCGAGCACGGCGAGTGCAGGAACACCGTCGGCTCCTACAGGTCCGTTGCCTCCACTACGCACATATTGCATAGACTAGAATATAATATTTTTTATTGAATACAGATAAAAGACTCGTATGCATCAACATATTGTGAAAGTTTTTGAACAAATTATTATATATAGTGAAATTTCATAATTATTTACACTGGTAAATGTACAACTGTACGAACTCATTACCAAAAAAAAAAAATCGATATGAAAATTGACATTGGTAGTATGAACGTAAACCATGAATGCTTTATTCTATTTATTGTATTTGTAGCTTATATTACGAGTATAGATACATGATAACTATTATTTTTTAATTGGTAAATTTAATTACCTTTTCAATGATATAATACCATTGATTAAATGGATTTAGAGGTGCGATTTTTGTGACGCTTAGTGTATATATATTTAACATTGGCTCACTCACGCCTGATTCGAATTTGGCATATTGTATTACATATATGAATGAATTAATGAATCAATATACTTTTATTGTACACCACGAACAAATATACAAAAGACATAACAAAAAGCACATTATATATATATATATATACAATTTGGCGGCCTTATCGCTACATGGCGATATACATTATACACCTCCGTTAATATGCTTAAAAATTACAAAGTTTTCCCGTCACGTATTAATAATATATACTATATGGATACTAACAATGTGCACAGGTGCGAGTGCGCGCCGGGCTACCTGCTCCGCGACGGCACGTGCCGGGACGTGGACGAGTGCGCGCGGCCGCGGCCGCTGTGCCGCAACGGCACGTGCGAGAACCGGCCCGGCTCCTACATCTGCCACTGCGACCCCGGCTTCAAGCCCGGCGCCAACAACGACTGCATCGGTGAGCCGTACTTCTTTTAGGATTGCTAATTTTTCATTTCAAATATATTTTCGAGGCTATTAATAAAATATAGCAGACTAGCTGTTCCCCGCGACTTCGCCCGCGTGTAATTTAGGGTTATAATTATGTTGCGCGGAACCCTAATTCTTTTTCTAAAATATAAATAGCCTAAGTTACTCCTTATAACATCAGCTATCTGCCAGTGAAAGTCCCGTCGAAATCGGTCCAGCCGTTTTGAAAATTAGCCGGAACAAATAGACAGACAGACAGACGGACAGACACACAAAATTTAAAAAATTGTGTTTTTGGTATAAGTACTGTATACACTTTAATATACATTTAGTTAAAAGCTGGTATTTTGACATTACAAACAGACACTTAAATTTTATTTATTCGTATAGATGTATAGATAACGAGACAATAAGACCGTGTAGTGGCAGTGTAATGATATCCACTACCCCATAGCGTTCCGTGGGTTTCGTAAGAGGTGACAGAGGGAAACAAATCAGGAGAAGGGCAGCAGCTTCTTCCTAACTCAAAATTATATAAAAACTGCGGTTGCCAACCCGCCTAACACGGCAACTATGGCAAAATCCCCCCTATCAGGCAACCTAGGAGGTCTAACTGCGGTTACTAACTGGTCTGCTTAACGTGGTATCTAAGGCAAAATCCCACCAATGAGGTAACCTGTTCAGCGGTGGACTTAAGCCTTTTTTCTATAGAATAAGGGGCAAACGAGCATGCGGCTCACCTGATGGTAAGTGTTGACCGCCACACATAGACAACTGCAACACCAGGGGTATTGCAGGTGCGTTGCCGGGTTTTAAAAAAGGAGTAAGCTCGTATCTTGAAGGTCCCTAAGTAGTATCGATCCAGAAAAATCGCCGGTGTTAAACAATTCCACAAAGAAGTCGTGCGAGGAAGAATGCTCCAAGTAAGTCGCACAGTAATGGACCGCCAAGCATCCATATAATATAAATGTAATGAGGTCTAATAATTTCACATTCACCAGATGTCGCTAGATGGCAGTGAGGTGAACTTGTTTGTTACACAATGTCTTTATAATGATTTCTAGAACATCTACACAAAACAATGCCTCAGTGCTGTATTCTTTAATTTTTTGCACTTATCCTGCTCTTTATTTAAATTTATTTACTTTTAGGAATATCAGTAGTTTGGTTTATCTATTTATAATCTAGTTAATATAAAATTATAAAATACTAGCGATCCGCCCCGGCTTCGCAAGGGTGATTTAAGGATCTCGACAACAGAGCCACTTAACGTGTCTAATTGTGTATCTAAACCACTCTTGAATTAGTTGACGAAATAACTTACACACACAAAAGTTCATTAACATCGGTCCAGCCGTTTAGGAAGAGTTCAGTCACATACATACGGACAAAAGAATTATATGTATAAAGAAAGACATGCAATAGCTAATATTTAGTAAAAGAAACACTAATCTCTACATTTTTTTAACAAACGAACTTCCCCTGCTATGAAATCTATCAAATATTTCACCTCGCTTCTAAGTGGCGCCGCCATGGGGGTAGAAAAGTTCGTGTGTGCTTATTGTGTGCGGTGCGTAGACATCAACGAGTGCCGCGAGGGCGGCATGGTGTGCCGCAACGGGCGCTGCCGCAACACGGCCGGCTCGTTCCGCTGCGAGTGCGCGCCCGGCTACACGCTCACCGCGGACGCGCGCAACTGCCGCGACGTGGACGAGTGCAGCGAGCTGCCCGCGCCCTGCGGCCGCGACGGCGCGCCTTCTTGCACCAACACCAACGGCGGGTGAGCACTCCACTACCCTACTCCTCTTCTCTCCTTTTGACATGGATATGTCTTTAAATTAACTTCCATAGGTGAGGATAGTTAAGTTTGTAGGTAACATCGCGCGTCGCAAGGAGGAGCACCGTCAATTTGAGGTCGCTTCTACTAACTTGGTGGAAAGTTAATGTGTTTATACAGGTTGTTCGGAAGGTGGATGAAAAGCCTTAATCGTGTGACTGTAAATGGATTTGTATAACGTATAGGTACGAGTGTGCTTGCGGCGCGGGTTGGAGGCTGGCGGGGCGGCGCTGCGTCGACCGTGATGAGTGCCGCGAGCTGCCTTACGTGTGTGCTGGCGGTGACTGTCACAACTTCAATGGCGGGTGAGTCTCTCTCTCTCTCTCTCTCTCTCTCACACACACACACACACACACACACACACACACACACACACACACACACACATACATTTCACTATACTTTGTTGCAACTACTGTGTTATAGATGCACTACCTACGTTTGCGTCAGCGCAGACTGTTCCAACTTTAATAGTGGATGAGTATCAGAGTATCAATCCCTCTCTCTCTCTCTCTCACGCATACATACATTTCGGTATACTTTGTTGCAACTACTGTGTCGTCGCTGCACTACGACTATGTGTACTCCGGCGGTGACTGTTACTACTTCAATGGCGGGTGAGTCGCACACATATACACACGTACACACACACACACACACACACACACACACACACACACACACACACACACACACACACACACACAGGCTACGTGTGTGCCGGCCATAACTACCACAACTACAACGGATAGTGAGCCTCACATACGCACTTGCACCTATACACATTGTACTATAGTTACCGAACATAGTTATTACACGTGTAAACTGGTAGATATATTAACCATTAACATAACTGCCTAATGAATTTAAAATAAGGAAGGAGGGCTAAAACCCGAGAGATTAGTTTTATTCTATTTTACCAACTGATCAAAAATATTATTTTCTAACAGTAAAATATAAATTAGCACATCAAAGAAGCGTCCCGAACTCTCTTATAGTCCATTACACAAACAAATAAAACGAAGAGAACTCCTATCACCAGTTGTGCAATATTTATAAGCTGTCACATTTTACCAACTCTACCATTTGCATGAGAAGTTTATTCAGTCTGTCTTAATATTATTTCAACTACAGTTGATGCGAGTCATGATACCACAAGAAGGCTTGTAACGTGCCTTATCTTTTTCTCTATAACCCTATGTTTTCTTGTTTCAGTTACCGATGCGACTGTCCTCCTGGTTGGCGGTTTGATAAGACGGCTGCCATCTGTGTGGACGAGAGGAAAGAGCTTTGCTACGACGAGTGGGACAGCGGTCGCTGCCACAAGGCGCGGCCTTTGCAGCTCAGCAGGCCAGATTGTTGCTGTTCTGAAGGTGCGTACACCGATTATATCATCATCATTACAGCCCTTCACAAGTCCACTGCTGAACATAGGACTCCCGCAAAGAATGTCACAAAACACGGTCCTGAGCCACCTGCATCCATCGACTTTCCTGCATGTCTTAACAGGTCGTCACTCCATTTAGTGAGGGGCGCCCTACACTTCGTCCGCCGTTACGAGCCGCCACTCGATTATATATGACTATTAAATCATTTGGCGATTTTTTTAAATTTAAATGTTAAGTAATTGTGATAAAATCGAATTGTTTTAATGTGTAGTCTTTATATTTAAAGCAATAAAGTTGCATTTATCATGACTATTTTTTACATAAATTACAATTATTTCTTATACATTTTATATAAACATGGCTTCACATTTGCCGTTCTAATTATACAATCTGATTTATTATATTGGTTTTTTTTTTATTAGAGCTAGTATTCAGAGACAATTTACCAGCTTAACCTCAAATTTCACAATGTCAAAATTTGACTCAAAATCCGTAAAGAAACATTTTCTTTAAACGTGTTGTATTCACGTAAACGTAACAAGTCATCAGCCAAGAAATTTGCTTTTCTTATGAATAAAGTCCCGTCACTGAACTGTATACTGTGTGTGTGTCTTGATGGAGTGTGCCCGCAATGCTGCCTTTCGAATAGCTAAGTGTAAAAATATTCTTAAGGAATTTGCTGATTGTAACATTATTTTATCCAATCCTCCTTCCGATGAAACAAAATTATTGGGTAAATAAAATAACATAATATTTTCCTCAGAGCAGTCAATCTGATAGTACTTTTTTCATTTTGTTTGCTTGTTAAATTGAATGTTATTTAGTTCTAAATGATGTCAAATAGATCGCATTTTGATTAAGCTCTTAAATAAAGATAAAAAAAACAAGTCATCAGATTTCGTTATCCTCAATTTGACGAGCAAATGTTTTATTTCCAGGATCTGCTTGGGGAAGATACTGTGAGCGTTGTCCTACACCAGACTCTGCGGAATTCTTAAGAATTTGTCAAGGTGGAATGGGTCGTCCAAATCTAACTCAGGTTGTAGGATATATTTTATCCTTTAAATCCAATTTCCTTGATGATGTACATACTTATTGTTACTCTTCTTGAATTTATGTCGCATAAATTATGTATTTTAAGTTTTAATGATATAATGGTTGATTATATACCTACTTCTTTTCTAGTTATTTCAATTTTATTTTGTTATAAAGTGCTTACTTTGAAACAGTGTCTTTACTTTCAAAAAGTTTACTATCATATATAATGCGCTTTTTCTTCTTATCTTTGATCTCAAAAAATGTTTCCTTTTAAAATTACCACAATTTTTCATATTTCCAGGACCTGGATGAATGCAAAGTGCGTCCGGATGTATGCAAGGGCGGGCATTGTATCAATACGGATGGTTCGTTCCGGTGTGAGTGTCCGGCTGGGTACGTGCTGGACGGCTCCGGACTCGTCTGCGTGGACGCAGATGAATGTGCACAAGATCCGAGAATTTGCGGGAACGGAACCTGTACCAATACGCCTGGAGGCTACGAGTGTCGCTGTAACTTCGGATTTACGCAAGGACCAGAACAAGTTAGTATGAACTTCTCTTTAACTATAAAAAGCCTGTAAAAGGTCTGCTGCTTTGATACAGGCTTTTCCAAATTGGGAGGACTTCAAAATTTGTCGTAATTAGATTGAAGATCTCTGTAATCTATTATGTCTTATGTATAAATTATTTTAAGAAATTAATAAATTAATTATCTTGGAAACAATTATAGACTTTTTGTGTGTTTAAATTTTTAAGCCTTTAATATTAAAATTTTAATATATTTACTTAACTCTTAATATTCTTGAACTTTGACGATTGAGCCAAGTGGCGCGTAAAATCATGCCTATGTCACTATTTTAGTGTAAGGATTCTCTAAAAGCTAATTAATGAAAACTTAATAAGGTAGATGATATGAGATAAAAAAAAACAATAACGATACCTGGATCTAAAATATTTAAGCAGGAATAAATGGATAACAGTGGCCACTAATGTCCGTACTTTCTAGTTTATTATAGTTATATCTTAGACAGCCATTTGCTAGGCATGACTGTAAGCGATAACTACTGTTAGAATCTTAGATTGGTAATTTTTATGCTTAGATGTGTCTTGGGTTGCTTAATGCCCGCTGATCTGTTCACATTACATCATCAGTTTATAAAAGTTCACGCCTGGATATAAGCCTCTCCCGTTTTTGGAGTTGCTATAATAATTTGTAATCATAGACATGTTATGGAGCTATGAAGCTGTTCCCCTCGAACGGTGTTATACAAAGTGTACCTGTTAAGGGTCATGAGATGTGGTGATGGTTTTTCCGTCACCTCTACATGTGACTTATTTGCTATTATGGTTGGATAAAAATATAGTACACAAAGCATATCATGGATACGGGTGGTATAGCCAACACAATCAACACACATTACATACATGATAGAGCCATGCTAGAGATATATTATGGGCATAGCATGAATGGGATGGCACGATCGAGAAAGGAACACGCTCTCACAAAATATCAGTGCAAAATAGCAGCTTATTCCTGCTGTGATACATAGAGTGAGTGTAGAGAACCGGAGATCCTTTTTACTGGAAAGGAGGTATTACATCTTAGTTCTCGGGGATGACAACGCATCTACATTTCGATTTTTAATCGAGTATAGATATAGATATATATCGGTAATAGCATCCACTTTCCATCAGGTAAAATTTTATATAAAAAACAACATAATGTGCTTAGTGTAAAACAAGTGATTAATTGTGGAGTTTTCTGGGCTATAGTAGTTATCACAGAATACCAACGTCAAATAGTAGCTCAACACTGCTGTGTTTCGTATGGTGAGTGTAGAGAACCGGAGACCCATTTTACTGGTAAAGAGGCATTCCATCTTAGTCCTCACGGGTGACGACGCATCTGAATTTTGATTCTTTGTTGAGGATAAATGTGTCTTTGTTGAGGTGGACTGTGTGCTCGTTTGTTACCCTATCCAAAAAAAAGGTTTCCGTATTTACACACTCACCATACGAAACACAGCAGTGTTGAGCTACTATTTTACGCTGTTATTCTGTGAGAGCGTGGTTCTTCCCCTGTCGAGCCGACCCATTGCTACAACTATAAAACACCTGTAGCATGGCTCTACCACGTATTAATATTGTATTATGTTTAAATATTGTATATTGTACAGACGTGCGTGGACGTGGACGAGTGCGCGGAGGGGCGCGCGTCGTGCTCGTTCCGCTGCCACAACACGGCGGGCTCGTTCCGCTGCACGTGCCCGTACGGCTACCGGCTGGCGGCGGACGGCGCGCACTGCCGCGACGTAGACGAGTGCGCCACTTCGCCGTCGCCCTGCCCGCACGCCTGCGAGAATGTCGTCGGCTCCTACGTGTGCAAGTGCCCGGAGGGTGTGTACTCACGTCTCACCTTCGCCCTCGTAGTGATTCTCAATGAAAAGGCTAATTGATGAAAATAACAATAAATGTTTTTATACATTTTAAACGTTATCTACACACTAGGATTTTTCCTGTATCGTGGAGACAAGCATTCAGACCCGGGACAGTTAAGAAATACTTGGAAATGTATTTATACATATTTATGAATATTATATTTGCCTTTTGAGTTAACTAATGACCCTTGAACGTTCCGATTCCAGGTAAGGCTTATCCAGTTTTGCAATAAATAGTGATGTAAATTATAATTTTTCTTAGCAATCCGCCCCGATTTTTGGATAAGATCCATTAATATGTAGTTATTTAGAATTAAGAGACCCATAATATCATTATCAGATATCAATAAAAATATCAGACCATTTATTTTATCAATTTTAAATTTTTATAAAAATAAGATTTTCGGATAAAATATAGACTATATCCCTCCTAGTATTGCTTTCTGTGTTCGTAAGGTTTAATTACTATCGGTTGAACCATTTCGAAGATTAGGCTGGACAGACAGAAAGATAACATTTTTAAAAATGTTTATTTGTCTTAATGACATGAAAATATCCCCTCAGCTCAATAAAGGCAGTTCGTTTTTCGATATTACAAACAGGCATTTCAATTTATATGTACGTATTCGAACGTACTTATAAAACTAAATTTTCCTTTTGAGTTATAATGCCCCTTGAGCGTTACAGTGTCCGATAACCGCATGGTGAAGTGTGGTATGTGCGCAGGTTACCGGCGTACATCAGCGGCACATGATGCGGTGGACGCTTGTGAAGATATCGACGAATGCGCTGAGCGTCGTGATCGCTGCGCACCCGGCGTCTGCATCAACACCGACGGCGGCTTCCTCTGCGACTGTGACGCCGGCTACGAGCCTAGCGAAGATGGTCACGCTTGCATCGGTCAGTATAGATATTTCTAAAACAACGTGATTGTTGAGTTATCTAACTTTGGTAACCCTCTAACAGCGGTAGAGCCACGCGGCAGCTTTTGTTTTCGCACGGATGGGCCGGCTCAAACCTGGGTAGTACCACCCTCTCATAGAATATCAGCGTAAAGTAGAAGTTTAATTCTGAGTTTCGCCTGGTGAGTGCAGGTGACCAGAAGCCCAATTCCCTCCCCCACACTTAACATGGTAGCGGAGTTAAATAGAACACTACAACAGGAGGGTACCAGCACCCCAGGTGACGGAGAATCCCTCGCTTAGCATCCACGCCCAAGCTACCCTACTCCTCCTGAGCGTGGGGTGCTTAGGCTAACTCGCGTATTCTGATAGCGGGGGAAGGGGGGGGCGAGATTCCGCTCAAGACGAATCCTCCTCGTGGCAATCGAAGCAATAAGATAAAGGCAACCCCTGCCCTTTATTTATTAGAAAACTCCTTTGTGCCCCGGGTTGAAGTTTGCGTGTACGTCAGAGGACATCTGCTTTTGACGCCTCGGCAGTCTTGAAGGTACGGACTTGTCCATCCTATGGCTGCGCTTAGACAGCATCGACCATCCCCGCGTCTACGGGTGCCTCTATATGACCCATAGCGGTAATGCCGACACAGACCGACTCATCGACCACGTCCAAATGGCTGCAGACTCCATTCTACAACAGGTCCCATCCGCAGAGATAGTGATGCTCAATGGCTTGGTTCCCACTTAACTGATCATGCGGGTAGATCTGTTTGTCACTTTGCATTGGCATATGGTCTGACACAAGTGTTTACCTTGCCTACGAAGATCCCAGATGTGGAGGATCATGTAACTTCCCTGTTGAACATTCTACAGACCTCTTAGGCTCCTCCACATCTGGGAGAAACATTAAAAATCAATTTTAAGTTTTAAGGAATTTAATACATGTACATATATATTTAAGGTTCATAGCCTTTCGAAACGAAAAAAACTAAAACTTATAATAGTAGCGAATTGATACGCTTTGGCAATTCGTATGTTTCGGTCACTCCCGTAAAATTGCATCACGCAATAGGCTGAAGTACTACCGGGCCTGGGCTGACGAACCAACGTCTCGGGATGCAAACGCCAGCGCTCTTAAAAAGAAATATAAATTGCCTCCTGGTCCTTCAAAAGAAGTATTTCCAAGGCAAAGTCAGAGCACATCGGCAGAAACTAGTTCGAATTCTTTCAGAAACACGTGCGTTTTGGTCTCTCAACAAGGCTGTCCTAAAAAAATTATGTCAGCTATCACTGCCATCTCTGCACAGGCAGGACGACTAACTAGCCCATGCCGCAAAGCAGAAAGCCGATCTGCTAGGTTGCGTCCAACTCGACTCTCGATGACGAGGGAAACACCGCCGACCATCCCGCGGTGTGAGTGCTTCATGCAGGATGTGCTGTTTATACAGCGTTCGGTGCGCAAAACACTCCTCTCCCAGGACGTCAAAACATCGAGTGGGCCTGATGGAGTCCCGCCTATTGTGCTGAAGACGTGTATTCCAGAGTAGGCACCGGTTTTTACGTGTCTTTTCCGGTACTCATACTCTCGAGGCGTAGTCATGAACTCATGGAAGACAGCTTTGGTGCATCCGATCCCCAAAAAACGGTAACCGTTCAGATCCGTCCAACTGCTTAAGGATCACCAGCTGATTAGTGACCTGTAGAATGAGTACGGTTTTCGTCGGGGTCGCTCAGCTGGTGATCTTCTAGGTTACCTGACTGATGGGTGGGTGACTGATGGGCGATGGCAGTAGAGTACAAGGGGGAGACGTTGGCCGTTAGTTTGGACATAGCGAAGGCCTTCGATAGGGTTTGGCACAAAGCGCTTATTATAAAAATTCTGTCCTATGTACTTCCCGAGAAATTATGCAATTGTATCACCAGTTTTCTTGCAGATCGGAGCACCAAGCTCGTAGTAGACGATGCAAATCTGATCACAAGACCATTAACGCCGATGTTCCACAAGGCTGCATGCTATCACCAACGCTGTTTCTTCTGCATATCAATTATATGTTGCAAACCGGTAACATTCATTGCTATGCGGACGACAGCACTGGTTCCCAGTCGGAGACTTTGTTAAACAAAGTCTAGGACTTAATTTTACATATTAAATATTAATTTTACATATTTGTAATTTAATTAGAAGCACACGAAGTGTTGGGAATAAAGCATAAGTATATAGAATCATTTAATATGGTTACGTAATTGTAATAATAATGTGCCGTGGTAGTTCAGATGGTTAGCGCTTGCTGTAAGTTTCACAGTACGCGAGCAACCCGGGTTCGCTCCCCGCCGGCACCAATGAAATTGTTAATTGCAATTTTAAGTGCTGATTTACCACGTGCTCGGCGGTGAAGGAAGATATCGTGAGGAAACCTGCATGTCTGAGAAATAAGAAAAAAATATTTCGAAGACATGTGAAGTTAGCCAACGCGCATTGGGCCAGCGCGGCGGGCATTTCCTTGCCCTATAAAACCCTCTCAGAAATGAGAAGAGGCCTGTGCCCAGCAGTGGGACGTATATAGGCCATAACTTTAACTTTTAACTTTAACGGATTGTAATAAGCGCGGTATTAATTTATGGTCATGCTGCTTTCAGATAGGAGAACTGGGATGTGTCACAGATCCTTGGTGTCTGGGCGGTGCACACCAGAGCCTTGGCCAAGGTTTATGTCCTCCACGCCGGCATTGCCTTCACAAGTTACAAAGTAAGTTCCTTATACTTCCTTCACTAAAATATTCACAGAGAAAACTGAATACTGTATCTGAATTCTTGGCGTCGAATCTCAACCAGAGTTAATGTTCATTCAAAAATAATAAGTTAACACTGACAATTTCCTAGGCCAAAAACTCTGTTTTTAGATTTTACTAGAATATAAAGGGCTTATGTTATATAATAAACTTATAAAATCTTTAATTTTGCGCAGATCGATTAATAAAAGATGAGTGTCCTGTAGCTTATCTTTGATACCATGACGTTAAGCAGCCTATTTCTTATATAATGACTCCGCTATTTGCGATTCAAATCATATGAAAGGTAGTTAATCTATACATCTATACAAATAAATAAAATTGAAGTATCTGTTTGTAATGTTAAAATAACAGCTTTATACTAAATGCATATGAAAGTATAAACGGTACTAATAATAAAAAGACAATTTTCAACATTTTTGTCTATCTGTATGTCTATCTGTTTGTTCCGGCTAATCTCCGAAACGGCTGGACCGATTTTGACGGGACTTTCACTGGCAGCGAGCTGATGTTATAAGGAGTATCTTAGGATACTTTATTTTAGAAAAAGAATCAGGGTTCCGTGCAAAAAAATTAAAACCCTTGAAATCATAGTAAATTCCACGCGGACGAAGTGGCGAGGGCTAGTTATAAATAAACCATAAAAAGTTGTTACTTCTGAGGGCTAAAACAAAATGCTTCATAGCCTGTTTTGTACTAGTTCTCTTATCTTACAATTTTAATTTATTTTTAATTCATGGAGGGACATTTTCCATTACGAACACTTCAGGGTAAGATGATAAATAAATTTATAGCCTGTTATGCTGTTTAAAAGAGCACTAATAGTTATGGGAGAGATTCCAGTAGTACTTTAGTAGTTTCCGTTAGTGGTCAAGTAAAAAAAAATAAGTTAATAAATTAATAAAAGAATTTGGCTCCATTTCATTACAGCTTATAAAAGACCACTGCTAAACATAGGCTTCCCTCATAGATTGCTTCACAGGGGGGATTTTGGCACAGTTGCCATGCTGGTAGGCTTGGTAGTTGTTATTAGAAAGACGCTGCTGGCCATCTTCTATTTTGTTTTCCTCTGTCGCCTTTTACACATAGGGGCAATATAGGGCAGTGGATATTCTTACACCGCCACTTGCTCGTGTATCTATATATGCGTATCCCCTGATCGCTACCATACTGTTCCTAAATGTTTTCATACTTAATTGTATTAAGTAAATGTTTGAAAAAAGTCCCGCTGGGTTTCTTGCTGGTTATTATTCCCAGGACAGAGGCATTTTCTGAACCAGTGGTAAATAAAAAAAAGATAGATAAAATATAAGTATTCAAACCACCTAAAAATAACTATTATGTATATCTTTGTTGAATAAAAATATTCTATTCTATAGACTGATGAATATAATGTAACGTACACTGGAGTAGAGCAGCGGACTTATTGCTTCATAAACATTTTATAGGCTATAACTTTTGAATAATTAATGTATGTGTAAATGAATTAATCTATCAATGAATGAATGATGAATGACCTTTTCTCGCGCACTGTAAGATTTCCGGCGAACGTTTATCTCCTGAACTACTAAGCGTAGTATTTTTTTTTATAGAACAAGGGTGACAAACGAGTACACAGTCCACCTGATGGTAAGTGGTTGCTGCGGCCCCCAGACATCCACATCTACATCTATTTTCGATTACGAATCAAAATGCAGATGCGTTGTCACCCGTGAGGACTAAGATATGCCTCGTTTCCTGTAAAAAGGGTCTCCGGTTTTCTACACTCACTATACGAAATACAGCAGCGTTAAGCTGCTATATTACAGTGGTATTCTGTGAGAGCGTGGTCCTTCCCCGGTCGAGCCGACCCATTCGTGTTACAAGTATACCAGAAATACAGCTGCAGCATGGCTCTACCACGTATCCCTATAATATCTCCTGAACTACTAAGCGAAGTATTCGGTTGACTACAAGAAATGCTGATGCGAGTGGGTTCTGTGCAGGGCGCAGTGTTGTTGCACGCTGGGCGTGGCGTGGGGGCCGGAGTGCGAGCTGTGCCCGGCGCCCGGCTCGCCGGAGCGGATGCAGCTGTGTGCGCGCGCGCAGCTACTGGGTGGCGGCGGCAGCGGAGGAGTGCTGCCCGGTGGACTCGGCGGCGGGACGCTCGGCGGCGGCGTCGACGTGTACGGTGACGTGGACGAGTGCGCTGCCATGCCCGGTCTCTGTGCGCCCGGCAGATGCGTCAACACCATCGGCAGGTGCGTTTTTTTCTTTGGTTATGGACGCGTACGATCGTACTTTAGCCAGTACGAAGTAATAAGAAATTATTTATTTATTTATACTTAAATGCACAAAGTTGATTCATTATTTTTATATGGAAATTTAGCACTGTTAACGACGCGGGCGCAATACAGAAACCAACCAAACTCTTGCTGAAATTTATCTTGTACATTGTATGGTTTTTTTCTGACCTACCGACGTGTGGATAATCTAAATTTTTTATGTACCTTACGTGAGTACAAACTGCTTTAGACCATAATTACTGGCACGCACAGCAAATATTCAAATGACAGAATTTCACTATTTGCTGTGCGTACCAGTACAGACTTGGGTCTGTTTATAATTTTATTATATACCAACAGCTTATTAACCTAGTAAGGGTTAGTGTCTTAAAAAAAAGAAATTAATTAATCAATTAAGTTATAAATGCCCACTCTTTGAGACAAACTATCTATATTATATACTATCTAACATGTTTACCAACAACTATGTCCAGTTAGCATCTAATAAGGTCTTGCTCAAGCAATGGTGTTTTTGATAAAGATTATTTTAATTAAATAAATCAAAAATTGATTATATCTCTGCAAAAACAATTTTATTGATCAAGTACAAAGTATAAATGTAATAATTTTGTTCATTAAGTGCAAAGTATAAATTGAAACTTTTGATCGTTTATCTTTCAGTTTCCGGTGCGTCTGTGGACGTGGTTATAAAGCAGCGGGTGATATTTGCGCGGATGTAGACGAGTGCAGTGTCCGACCTCCACCTTGCGAGCAACTCTGCAAGAACAACGAGGGCTCGTACGAGTGTCTCTGTCGCTCCGGATATGAAATCGACGTGGACGGCGCTAACTGTCAGGACGTTGATGAGTGCGAGAGAGGAACGCATACGTGTCAGCAGATTTGCTCGAATACAGAGGGATCGTTTGAGTGTTCTTGCCAAGAAGGATACGAAAAGAGGGGAGATGCTTGCGTTGGTAAGACACTCTGATATTACATTTCATTTATAATATTTATATATAGACTAAATTTTATGTAATGGAAGTTTTAGGTGCTGTTAAAATTAAAAATAGTAAAATTTTTAACTCCTATATTTCCAGTTGTAATTTAAAAGTAGAATGGAATAAAAAAAATTCTTTGAACATATATTTTTTTTTACTTCTGCCACTGGTTTGGTAAAAACCTCTTTATTATGAAGAATCAAATATTACAAAAATCAAAAAGAACGTTGGGCCTTTCATAATTTTTAAATGCAAAGGAAACATTTTTTAAATGCAGCATATAGCTACTCGAGTAAAGTTTGATGGATATTATAATATTTAAAATATGTATCTTATATTATTAAAAATACTTTTGCAGCCATCAAACAGCATTATAACAGTGTGGCGTACTTTTCTGTTAAACCAGAGATGACCAGTATTTTTTTTAAACGAGCATGCGGCTCACCTGATGATAAGTGACTACCGCCGCCCATGAGCAACTGCAACAGCAGGGAAATTGCAGATGCGTTGCCGGCCTGTTAAAAAGGAGTAGGCTCTTTTCTTGAAGGTCCCTAAGTTTTATCGGTACGGAAAAATCGCTGGTGATAATCGATTCCACATGGAACGATTATAGAGTGTTAGTTTATTTTCCCGGCAGACATCAACGAGTGCCACGAGGAGGGCCTGTGCCCGCCGCCGGGCAAGTGCGTGAACCTGCTGGGCTCGTACCGCTGCGTGTGCCCGCGCGGCTTCCGGCTGGACGCGGCGGGCGCGCGATGCCTCGACCGCGACGAGTGCGCCGACGGCCGCTGCCAGTCGCCCTGCCGGAACTACGCCGGCGGCTTCCATTGCGATTGCCCGCCAGGTCGGTCATATTTTTTTTATTTGGTCATCCACGCTGACGGTTGTACTTTTGCCAGTGTCAAATAATAACGTGAAATTAAAATATTAATACTTACAAAATTAAACTTAAACTTCTAACGTGAAGTTTTCGGGAAATTTTAGTAGCCTCAGTCGATGACGATAGTATCTCAAGGTGCCTGAGCAGACACCTATCTTGACATTGACATACTAATAGATCACTTGTTTCGTTTCTACATGGGCAGTCACTTAATACACGAAACCGCATCACTTTTACGTATCAACTACTACTTCAAACCATTAATAAAACGATAATTTAAAATTAAAAATTTTGTTCAGCCGACTTCACTATAAGTTATTAAGAATAACTCAAAAATTCATCAGCATTATCAGCTTTCAAATAAAAAAAAGAATCATCGAAATCGGTTCACCCAGTAAAAAGTTATGAGGTGATACACATAAAAAATATACAGTTGAATTGAGTACCGTCTTCTTTTTAGAAGTCGGCAGATAAAACTAAAGCTACAGTCTATCGGTCAAGTTCGGCTCCGGTCATACTTTCTTTTTCCTTTCCATCGGCTCCTAAAAGTCCAATTCACGGCCATGGCCGACCATAGCCAAACATGAGTATCACCCGTTATAAAAATTTGTCCAAATGGCCAAGTTTGGCAGGCAGATTGGCCAGCCTTTTAGGAGTACTAGACATCTCGCACCTTCGACTCTGCTCCCCGTCGCCATCTAGGTTTTTGATATCTGACATAAACATAATAGTTATGTTTATGTCAGATAGTTATTCCATGGTCATAGAGGTGATGAGCTCCATCACCCAAAACATACTTTAGGACCTAGGAAATAGAGATATAAATGGAATTTGTTTTATATTCTGTTGAGAAATCAATTATAGACTAAATTACTATTTTTAAACCCATGTCCCATGAATTATATATAAACATTTTGATTGCTTAACTATTGTGCCTATTCCGCGGACTGGGAAGGTGTTAAAAGATTAAAATTTTCGAAAATATTTTTAAGCCGTACACGCCGTTGAAGCAAAAACGCGCGTAGAAGTTTTGCTGATAGCGTCATGGTGTTTCGCATCACGGAAGCGTTGTTATTAACAACTTGTTAGTGTCATTAAGCAAAACAGTGCGGGACGCTGTTGGCAGAAGTGGGGGGTGGGGGTGGGGGTGGTGATAGTCTGCACCATCACATGGTTTGTAGTACCACTAGATGCATTCGCAAGTACGATATTTATCGTATGTTATACCATAAAGATTGTGCTTGCGATTGCTTATGCTGTTGTAAATATAAAAGGCGAAAGTATTGTATAGTGTAAAGCATTTTTATAATTTACCGTTTCTAACAAAATATGATCCTGGTCCTATCGTCAGAGTAAGAAACAATTAAGGAATTTAATTATACTTAAATTCTATTTTTATTATTATTTTATTTAATTTACTTTTATTTGAAATTATTCCAAATTGAATGAGATTTATAGGTAACAAGTTTTTGCCACCGATCGACCTTTACAAATGTATGCGCTCGCAGTAAAATCTGTTAAAATAATGCATTACAGTAGCACACATAAAAAACATACTGTCGAATTGAGTACCGTTTCCTTTTTGAAGTCGGTAGCAAAAGGTTAGTCAAGTCTTTAGAGTACAAATTTTGGACATTACACCTACAGTGACACTAACCCTATTTACTGGAAACAAGGCATCACATCTCATCAGTGGTGACAACGCATCTGCATGTGTATGGGTGGACTGCGTTTCGGAAATTGGCCTAAATTTACTCCCGATTCTATTATGATATCCATATGCGCAGGTACGGTGCGTGCAGGTGGTGCTAGCGGTGCGTGCGTGCCGCAAGACGCGTGCGCCGAGGCGCCGTGCGGCTCGTCGCCGTGCTTCCCGCTGGGCGGCGCCTACCGCTGCGGCTGCCCCGCCGGCTATGGCTGGGACGCCGGCCACGGAGTCTGCCTGCAGGTGCGGATTAGCACACGCACGCACACACACATATTCGCACGCACACACACACACACACACACACACACGCACGCACGTGCGCACGCACACACACACACACACACGCACGCACGTGCGCACACACACACACACACACACACACGTACGCATACGTGAATCAAAGAGAACAAAATATTTCGTATTTTAATGCTCTGCCAGTTAAGTTCAATCAATCTCGGCCCTGATGGGCTGCGGGTTAGAATCAACAAAGTTGTGTATGTAAGACTTACATATAACGATAAAGGAGAAAATTTTAGTGGTAACGTTTTTTTCAATGAAGTAAATATTTCCAGTTATATAAGTTCAAATTTTGCTTCGCCTTGAAATGTGATTTATGGTCAGTGCACCTCTATGCACAAATGGTATGTTTCCAATTAGGTTACTTGGATTATTTAATTTATTCTAGGATAGAATTTATTAAATATTTAAATACTGACATGCACTTTTAATCCTATAGTATATGTACCAAAATGAAAAGTAAACTATTTTGACTAAAGCAACATCACGCAAGCTGTTAACTTATACGATTCTTTTATCTACCTCACTTCCTACATACTTTATAAAAGTTCTCTTTAAATTAATGATAATTTTATACAAACTAAATAGTAATTCAATGACCAAAAATATCTTAGTATAATTCAATATCTCGATTACGATGCTGTCATTGACCTTTTCTTTGTTGTAAAGCTGGCTGGTGGCTGTGCGACCGCGAGTTGCCTGTTTGGTTGCACTACATTTGGAGAATCGTACCAGTGCGGTTGTCCAGCTGGCTACCAACTTGTAGGGGCAGGTCACTGCCTCACGGCGCTAGATGGCGCTCTACCACCGGACGATATAGGAGATGCGCCTGTGTTCCCTGTTAGGGATCAGTACAAGATTGGCGGGAAAAACGAGCTCATTTCTACTGAAGGATGTTTCAGTTGCAAGGTTTGTGTACAATTTTTTTTAAAACTCTTGTACATGCACTTATTATTTTATAATAATCGCCACCTTTGGCAAGCTAATGTCATTGAGTTGGATTTCAGTTTCAACTGTCTCGTACTTTTGTTGCCTCCCGTCGCCGGAATGAGTAATTTATTTCTGGTGTAACCATGGTGGTGATACTGCTATCTTTCGGAAGCGAGGAGATTCCCATAGTCACTTTATATCACGGATTATCTTATGCCACCACAACAAGCCAAAAGGAAAATCATATCTGCAAAGGAAAAACTCAATTTCCAGCAGTAGTCTTATGCGGGCTGATTTAAATAAATAAAAATATTTCGTAGAGGTGAAGTAGAGGTTTACGTCTGCGTTTCGCTTGGTGAGTGCAGGTGGGCGGAGGCACAATCCCCTCCCCCCTTAACATGGTAACGGAATCAAATAAAAAACTACCCCAGGAGGGTACCAGCACCCCTGTTGACGGAGAATCCCTCGCTGACCATCCAAGACCAATTTATCCTACTCTTCCTGGGCGTGGGTGCTCAGGATGCCCGCGTATTGCGGGGAAGGGGGGGGGGGAGATAAGACCAAGGCGACACTTGTCACGCTATGTGTGAATTTTTGCAACATCAGGGGACTTCATTCCAACCTTAACGCTGTTCACTGCCCTCTAGAGACTTGCTATTTTTAACCCAGATTCTGGTGTACTCTCCGGCTGATACTTCATGTCTTTCCTACCCGCGGTACAAATTAGAACACTCTATTGTGCCCCGGGATGGAGTTTGCGTATACGTCAGAGAGGACATCTGTTATCCGAGGCAGACTTGAAGGTACGGACCTGTCCATTCTATGGCTGCACGTATACAACAACGACCATCCCCGCATCCTACGTGTGCCGCTATTTGTCCCATAGCGGTAACGCCGAAACAGACCGACTCATCGATCAAGTGCAAATGGCTACAGATTCCTTGCTACAGCAGATCTCAACCGCGGTAATCGTGATCTTTGGCGATTTTAACGCCCACCATGCCGAATGGCTCGGTTCATGTTTAACCGATCACGCGGGGAGATTTGTTTATGCCTTTGCCTTGACATATGGTCTTACACAGCTAGTTACTTCGCGTACGCGGATTCCAGATGTGGAGTATCATGCACCTTCCCTGTTGGAACTTCTGCTGACATCTCATCAAGACGGATATCAGGTTTCCGCCGACGCTCTTTAGGTTCGTCGGACCATTGTCTTGTTCGGAGTGTGGTGCCACTCACACTAACGTCGCAGTTGCATTCTGCAGGCTGTCGCCGTGTTGGCACTATAGGTCAGCCGATTGGGATAGGATGCAGTCTTTTTTTGCATCCAACGCTTGGGGCCCGGTTTGCTTCTCGCCGGATGGTCCCAGCGTTGTTGCTGATTCTTTCGCTGATGTGGCACTTTAGGGTATGGCATTTTTTATTCCATCCTCTGTGGTGCCCATCGGAGGCAGATCCCAGCCATGGTTTGGTCGCTCCTGTAAAATAGCATCACACTATAAGCAGGAGTGCTACCGGGCCTGGGCTGACATATCAACGTCTCGGGATGTAAACACCAGCGCTCTTAAAAAGAAGTATAATTCCGCCTCCAGGTCCTTCAAAAGAGTCATTGCCAAGGCAAGGTTTGAGCACATCTGCAGAATTGGTGAGAAGCTAGTTCATCTTCCTCCAGGAACCCGTGCATTTGTGGTCTCTCGCCAAGGCTGTTCAAGGGAAGTTTTGTCAACCATCTCTTCCATCTCTACACAGAGAGGACGACTCACTGGCCCATGCCGCAAAGGAGAAAGCCGCGTTTCTTTGCGTCCCACTCATGATGACGAGGGGAACACACCGCCGACCATCCCACGGTATGAGTGCTCCATGCCAGATGTGCGGTTTATACAGCGCTCGGTTAGCAAAGCACTCTTCTCCCTGGACGTCTGCGTCCCTCCAATCGTGCTCCAGAGTTGGCACCGGATTTAACGTGTCTTTTCTGGTACTCCTATTCCTCAGGCATAGTCCCGAATTTATGGAAGACAGCTTTGGTCCACCCGATCCCTAAAAAGGGCGACCGCTCAGACCCTTCTAACTACAGGCCTATCGCAATAACCTCCTTGTTCTCCAAAATAATGGAATCCATTATAAACTGCCAGCTCATGAGGTATCTTGAGGATCATCAGCTGATTATTGACCGCCAATACGGTTTTCGTCGAGGTCGATCAGTTGGTGATCTTTTGGTCTACCTGACTCAAAGATGTAGAGTAGAGTCCAAGGGGGAGGCATTGGCCGTTAGTTTGGATATAGTGAAGGCCTTCGATCGGGTCTGGCACAAAACGCTTCTTTCGGAGCTCCCTTCGTATGGGCTTCCCGAGAAATTGTGCAATTGGATCACCAGTTTCCTTGCTGATAGGAGCATCAAGGTCGTAGAAGACGGTGCATGCTCTGATTACAAGCCTATCAATGCTGGTGTTCCACAAGGCTGCGCGCTATCACCAACGCTGATTCTCCTCCATATCAATGATATATTGCAAGCTGGTAACATTTATTGCTATGCAGACGACGGCACTGGTGATGCCTTATATATCGGCCGTGCCAATATTTCTCGGGAAAACGTCGCCGAGTACCGAGACAAACTTGTGTCTGAAGTCGAGTCTTTGCTGAACAAAGTTTCGGATTGGGGGTGTCTAAATCTAGTCCAGTTCGGTAGAATAAAATAGAATAGAATAATTTTTTATTTTATTGCAAGTAATTCTTATTGAAAGTCATTTTTTACTTTACCACTGGTTCGAAAAAAATCCTCTGTCCTGGGAAGAACCAGCAAGAAACCCAGCTGGACTTTTTATTGAAAATAAATTTTACAACAATATAAATGATTTGAGAAACAGCTTGGAAGCGACCACCTCATTCCCAGTGTTTATTATCAACCATGTATTCACTTATATTATAATAACCCTTTTTGTACTCTACCACGTGCAAAATTAATTCTATATATGAAATCATTTTAGGGAACAAAAATTGATTGACTCTCAAGGTGGTACGTAAAATAGACACTAAATGGTCTAAACACGATATAATCGCGTTTAGGCCATCTAGTGTCTATTTGTCTATTTGTCTAGTGTGTTGTCTCACGGTATATGTTTGTCTGTTTTTAGTGTTGATTTTTCATTTTATTGATTTTCTTTAAAGTTCTAGTACAATTTAAAGTAATAATAATTCCAGATGAACGGTCGCCACAGAAGAGCTCCAGAAGAAGGAATTGTTTTCGCGAACGGCACAACCTACGTCAGAAGGCGCAGAAGACGCAGCAGGCGTATGTTTTATTGTTTTCTTTATGTTATATAAAGTATTCAAATTATGGTAACCGATATCCTGTGATTAACATTTTTAGTTTTCAAGTTTTTTACTTGTTTATAGTTCTATAACGTGTTGTTCTCTAATCAGTTATCTGTTTACGATATACGATCATAATCTTGTCCGAACTATAATTTGATCTTACTCATGTCACTTCAATATTATGATGATGGCGTAAGACGGTAGGTCGGTTTTATAGTGAATCGATTAAAGTATGAGTGAAACACTTCAATGTGTTAATCCAAATAACAAATAATTTGATAGAGTGCAATAATTATGTTCAATCTAAACATGATAAGCATTATAGATTATCATCACTTAAATACCTTGATTATGCCGTATAATCACAGAAAGAAACATGAAAAGAAAAATACTGAAAGTTTTATAATTTCATAACTTTATTTGTAACTTGGGAGGTCAGAAATATGTTTAACATTATATAACCTATTTTTCGCTAGGTCGGCGTTCAATCCTTGAACCTGAAGTCGAGTTAATAGTAGTGACAGCAACACCCAAACAAACTTGGGGCCGGGCACCGTTACTGCGCTTGGTTCCGGCGGAAGGAGGAGCGAAGCCACACTACCGCATCGCTTACGGAGATGACAACAAAGACTTCGTTCTCTCTAAACGGGACGGAGGCTGGGCTCTGCGGCTGAGGAGACACCTGAAGAGTGATGCTGTGCTGGAGCGGCAGCTAGAACTGGAGGCGCGGTTTGTTCCCGTGCCGGAGATCGGCAGGAAGAGGAATAGGCGACAAGTGAACCTTAATATACCGTCACCACTCAGACTCTACGTGTCCATACATATCGCCCCGCCTAAACGTTGAGGTGTGATTGTGTGGTGAGACTCACTTAAATAGATTTCACCTTTTTGTACATAACTTGTACCTTTTTTCATAAATCCCCACTGCCATTTTGCGCGAGTCGAAACTGCCATTTTTATGTTGTACGATCGGCAGCCGTCTCTTTTAATATTTTTTTTTAAGGAACGGTTTAGTTTTTAATGATATTTGGCTTACAAATTCTTTTAAATCGTAAGTCTCACCAAACTCGGACAATGTTTTTGTTTTTAATGGACTGGTTTTGTAATGTGTATTGCAATATTTTGAACAGTTTTAGTTTAATTTTAAGAAAATATTTTTTTACATAATTTGTTATAAAAATATTTTTTTATTTCCTTATCTATGGTATTACCATTGAAAAATACTGATTACAAAATACGATAGAACTTTATATACAGTATAGTAATTTGTTCAAAATATTGCTCGCACCTTGTAATCGGTAAATGGTCGCTTAGCGATTCGATTTGAGTCTGAGGCGATCTCGTCGGCAGTATTAAATTATGTGTGAGATGGTTGAGTGCGAAATACGTAGGTATAATCGACATTCCATGTCGATTTATTAATAACTTAAATCTCTATATCGATATTTAAAAAAAAAACGTTCGTTAGAACGATTTAGTTTTCGAAAATAAACAGAGGGAATAATTTAGTTTTAAATTTTTAACTACCCTCGATCGATACTTACTACTACTTACACTTTTGTTTAATTTTAAAAAGAAAATACTTTCCGTACTCCTTATAAAGCGTTGATTATGATTGTTTTAAATTTAAATTCACTCTAGTACTCTGAGACTATAGAGATAAGACTTGAAGTCAATATTTCCTTCGAAAGAAAACACTCTAGTTGACGAAACCTTAATAACTGACTTAGCGTCTCATTTATTTGCCATTTGTATAAGTGCCAATGTATAGTGGTTATTTTTAGATGCATAATACATATGTAGCATTAAGCGAATTATTTATTTTTTATCTTCAACACCAGCTTGATAGGAACACCGTTAGAAGTCCACTTATATTTTATACTCACCTTCACCAATTGCTTCTTAATCCCTTATATCAGACATTAGAACAATGCAATGACTTTTGTAAATATGTGTATACAGATTAATATAAATGTGGTTTAATAGAAAATAATGTTTAACTTAGTTATTAAGCCGAAGTGGACTATGAAATTAATAAATTTCTAATATAACAACTATCTTAGTTTTATTTCTAGATAGGTTATGTTTGCGGCAAAGTTAATTCATCATCATTATCATTACAACCCATCAAAAGTCCATTGCTGAACACAGGCCTCTCCCAAGGAATTAAAAAAATTCCCTCCTGAGTTTCCCGCATCTATCGACTTCCTGCATCCTCTTGCTAGACCGTCACCGTCAAGTTTCTCTTCGTAGTCAGACTAAGAGAACGCATATTCGTTGTTATCCTTGAGGACTAAGATGGAATGCCTCGTTACTAGCAATAAGGTTCGGTTTTCATCACTCTTTAGATGACATACTACAGCATCATGCCCGTAGGTGGCGGTGTTCGTCGCTGTTATTCTATTAGCACGTGGTACTTCCCCGATAGTATACAATTCATTCGTCATAAGCTACTACACACTCTACCAAAATGCTCGAGTTGGCGATGGTAAATGTAACCAAAGATAGACAGACATGGGTCTTTGCCATGAAAGTCATAATTAAAGCACTTTACAAGTTCAGTGCTGAACAAAAGCCTTCTTCATTGATTCTCAAGGATTATAAAAAGGAAAGTCATAGACATGGTTTGGGAATTCCCGACAATTTCAAAGTTCCGGGACACCAGACAGCCTATAATTTTAATCCCGGGAATTCCCGGGACTTCGGGACTTAAGAAAAAACTTTTTGAAGAATTTTAATTAATTTAATTTCTGGTGAAACGTATTAAAAAGAGGCAATTTTTTTGTAAAAATCAATATTTATTAAACAATTAAACAGAAAATTAAATAACTTTAACGTTAATTTCAGTCGTAATAATTGCTTTGTTTATTACTTTTAGTCACACACAGATGCACTTCCAAACAGTTAAATCTTATAATTATGAAACGCACTTGGTTAAAAATCGTACTAATTCTTAATAACTTTACTATTATCTAGTAATTCTAGTATCTAATTTTTACGTGGTAGATACTTGCTGCAGCTATATTGGTAATATAGTTGTAGCACGAATGGGTCGGCTCGACCGGGGAAGGACCACGCTCTCACAGAATACCATCGTAAAATAGCAGCGTTTCGTATGGTGAGTGTAGAGAACCAGAGACCCTTTTTACTAGAAATGAGGCATTCCATCTTAGTCCTCACGGGTGACAACGCATCTGCATTTTGATTCTTTATTGAGGATAGATGTAGATGTCTATGGGCCGCAGCAACCACTTACCATCAGGTGGACTGTGTACTCGTTTGTCACTCTTATCCTATAAAAAAATCATTGTTAATTCTCATAATTACATATTTGTTTAATTTATTGTGTTGCATACTCAGTAGTTACGTACTAGACCAAGTACACATGGCGTTAGCTCCTCCAATTATTTGAAAATAAAAATGATTACACAACAATTTCGACAATCTTGTCTCGTCTCGAGTTTCGACCCGAAAGTCCCGGGACTCGAGACAACTAAAATTACGAAAAGTCCCGGGACTGCGAGACACGAGACTAGTCATAGAGGACGTTTTGAGAATTTACCTGCGAAATGTGCAATTATCAGGATTCTTTCTACTATTGACACTGCAGTCACTCACAGATCAAGTAATCATTGTCGAAGACAGTAACTTACTAAAAATTACCTCTATTATACTCAAAAAAATCCAAAATACCTAGGAGCTCATTCCTTGCGTGCCAATTTGAGGCGACCTGTCATTCAAAATCAGTCACAGGGTTATGAGATTTACTATCCTTTTCTATCTTGCTAATTTATTACTAATTTTATAAAGAAAGTGTGTTTCTTCGAATGGTTATCACTATTTTATGCTTACCCTAAGCATGAACAGATCGACATGAAAAACTTTACCACAGGGGAAGACAAAAGTCATGCTGAATAAGATCCCGCACACGCAGAATAAAATTTAATACGTGGTATAGCCACGCTGCAGCTGTCATGGTTGTAGTTCGAATGGATTGGCTCGACAGGGGTAGGACCACGCTCTCACAGAATACTACCGTAAAATATAAAATTTTATTACAGCTGCTTAGTGCAGCTTAATTCTGTTGTGTATCATATGGTTAGTGTAGAGAACCGGAGACCCTTTTACTGGAAACGAGGCATTCCATTTTAGACTGCAGGTGAGACAACGCATCTGCATTTTGATACTTAATCGAGAAAGATGTCTGTGGGCCACAGCATCCTCTTACATTCAGATGGATTGTGTGCTAGTTTGCCACAATAATTCTATTTAAAAAAAGGATATCTTTTTTGACCTAGGGTTAGTGTCAATCAAATTGGGTTTTATAAATTAGCATTTTTATATAAACACTAGCTGTTCCCCGCGACTTCACCCACGTGGAGCCATTTTTCGCGGAACCCTAAAATAAAAGCAGCCCAAGTTACTCTTTATAACATCAGCTATCTGCCAGTGTGTATAAATATTGACAAATATAGACATTATTATTAATACGATACTAACGTCACTCAATTGCTTTTCCTTCCCGGAACCCCTCCACTAACACTTAAACTTTATGGTATGGTATTAAAGTTCAAATTGACTTTTAAGTTTTATTACGAAACTTTTGTATGGGAATATAGAAAAGTGTTGTTTTTAGACTTTTTCAGGCAGTTTTTAAATTTTTCTCTCCGTTAGAACCATCTTCGTGCTTCAAGGTATATTATAAAAAAAAAGAATCAGCGAAATCGGTTCAGCTGCTCTCGAGATTTGCGCTTAGCAACACATTCAGCGATTAATTTTTATATTATAGATAACAATTTTAAAAGCAAGAAGGTTGGTTAGATTTGAACATAACATAAATATTGAAAAAGTAATTCTGTTCTGTCACAACTGCGATACCAAGTGTCATTAAATGTAATTGCTGTGCATAAAGTCATATAATATAATTTCTTTGCATTATATTCTAATGTATAGTGTGTAATGAATGCTGTAATAAGACATTGAATGTATTCTAAGTTAAATATAGAAATTTAGGACGTCAAAGATGGCAAAAAAAGATAAAAAGGAAGAATTTTCTTGTGAGCTATACAGTAATAAGTTCTTCATGCTATGTATGGCGGGTGGAGCTGTTGCGTGCGGCTTAACGCACACCTTGGTTACTCCTTTAGACCTGGTCAAATGTCGGCTCCAAGTGGACCCAGCTAAGTACAAATCAATATTCAAGGGCTTTGGTGTATCGTTCAGAGAAGGAGGCTTAGCCAATTTGGTCAAAGGTTGGGCGCCGACCTTCTTCGGCTATTCGCTACAAGGCGCTGTTAAATTTTCCGGCTACGAGTACTTTAAATATAAATTCGCCGGAATGATCGACGAGGAGTCTGCTTACCTGTACCGGACGTATTTATATCTCGCTGCGTCCGCTTCGGCTGAATTATGTGCAGATGTATTTTTGTGCCCGTTCGAAGCGGCCAAAGTACGAATGCAGACGACGCCCTGTTACACGTCACAGATGCGAGAGGCCATGCCGCATATGCTCGCTACAGAGGGCTTTGGCGTCTTCTACAAAGGACTCGTGCCTCTATGGGCGCGGCAGGTTCCTTATACAATGATGAAATTCGCTTCGTTTGAAAAGACGCTTGAATATCTCTACGCGAAGCTAGTTCCTAAGCCGAGAAACGAGTGCACGAAGGGTGAACAGCTGATCGTGACCTTCACGGCTGGTTACATCGCAGGAGTACTTTGCGCGATAGTCTCCCACCCAGCTGATACTATCGTGTCCAAGTTGAATAAGGAACCGGGTTCTACAATAGGTGGGATTATGTCTGAGGTGGGTTTACTTGGCATATGGCGGGGTTTGACCGCTCGTAT